CCGGAAATCAGCAGCGGCGCCGCCGTCAAAATGTTCATCTACGAGACCCAAACGGAGTTTGGCATTTGCCATGCCGTCAACTCGTTGGTCGCCCGCTACAATTCCTTTGAGTGAGTGGCGGCCGGGCGCCGGCACACATCCGGATATGATTTTATGGCTTTTGGCTTCCCATCCCATCCCCTCCCTTTCCATTCCATTCTCTGTAGTTATTGGCGCTCGAATGATTGGAGCATCCTGGACCATGGAGATCGTGTGACTGTGCATCCGCTGGATGGTGAAATCTACGCTCAGATTATCAACCTGTCGACCGCCTACGATGTCTACTTCCATGGAGCCGGGGATGTGCCGAGCATATCCAAGCAGCGCTACACGTTCCCGGAGAGCGACTACACCACCGTCGAGCTGATTGCCCTGGAAATCTACACGAACGAGGAGGCCAGAGCGTGAGTTGTGCCACTCTCTCTATGGACCTCTGTAACACCCGTTAATCTCTCTGGGGCCGCAGGTTCACCACCAAACAGAGGAGCTGTCGCTTCAACTATGAGGCCGAGGACATGCAGTCGGTGCCCATCTATAGCTTCGGTCTCTGCCTCTCCGAGTGCCGCATGTTCTTCGCTCTGCGTGCCTGCGGCTGCATACCGCACTTTTACCGGAACCGCCGTGAGCATAATCATCATATTCCACCCAACCAACCATCCACCCAACCATCCATCCATCCATCGATCCCACTTAATTGTCTCCATTAAAGTTAACTTTTATGTGCCGGACGATGCGGCATTAATGCTGCTACTCGGTGGTCATAAAACGCTTAAAGTCTCGTAGTTTAAGTTGAAACCCGTCCCATCTCTATCTCTCCTTCTCTCTTTCTCTGTCCCCTCTCTCCACAGTACGGAACGGACGGCGACTCCCTGTTTGCGGCCTGGAGGGCATCGGTTGTTTGGTCAGAATTAAACGTGAGTAACCCCAACCAACCTTTGGAACATGCAAATATTTAGCCTGCTCGAGAAATTCGATTTCAATTTCACACAAATTTCCTAGAACGTGACCATAATTTCGGGATAGCCAGATGCCTGTTGCTTGAAGAGTAATTATAATATTGAGTAAACCCGAGTTGGAGGCTGTTTCTGTTTTGTGGGAGAGAACCTTTGAACTATTGACTATATTCATAAAACATTAGTATATAATATACATATATCGGGCCCATTTTCCAGGCGAGATAATCTCATTGAAATCGGACAAATACAAAATCAATTGCAATTGTTTGGCCAACTGTGACGATTCCAACTTCTTTGTGCAGTCCCATGTAAGTATTCTCCACCTCCCACCCCCACCCCCACCCACAAGTCTTACGCCTTAACTGTAAAATGTTTACGGCAAACAGAAGCACCATGGAGCGGTGGTCGTTACCGCCGCATTTCAAGTGGAAAAATAAGCGAATATTTTCGGGGGGAGCAGCAGAGCATTCGCTTCGCCTTAAACAAACATCAAAATTGTAGTCCGGGCTATAAAAAATAATAACGCGCAAAAGTTGCACGCAGCCGGGACGCCTTGAAATATGCAATTATTGTATTTCAGGGTCTTATGGGAGCAAAAGTTTTCATCTTCAACATTTTTTTTTTTTTTCGCGCTTTTGCGTGCGGCGAAAGTTTTGTACATTTAATAATAATTTTTGCTTACTTGCCTTGTTATTTTGATGATGTTGTTGTTGTGCTTGTCCTGGTTCTTATTCCGCTTAATACTGGTTTCTCTCCCACACACACACCACCCACACCACCCACACCACTTGTGTGGTTAGCGCTCGCGTGTCTGGTTTTTGGGCGCTAATCTACAGTGGGGCATAATCGATTATCCCAAAATGCAGCTCCGCCGCGATGTGCTCTTCTCCTTTGCCGATGTCTTGGGTGAGTTTTCGGGGCAACACCTGTATGGAGAACCTTAAGGAACTCTTTTCTTTTCCAGTTTATATTGGCGGCCTGGTGGGGTTCTTTCTGGGCTGCAGTGCTTTGAGCTTCACTGAGATCATATATTACTTCACGGCTCGATTTGTGCGGCGCATGTTCTTCAATTGATGAAAAAGTACACGAATTAGTTGCTATAATGAACAAATAATAATACAACTTTTTACCGAATTTTAATTACCGAACTTTAAACCGAATAAACTTTTTTTCGTAGTCCCATCACACGTAAATCTATTTATAAATGTAAGAAACGTAAGGTTTAGTATCGAATGCTGATCGATGGACTATAAACAGCTGATCAGCCTGTCCCCCCCACATGAGGGGGGTACTAATACTATTACATGTGTGGGAGGGAGGGGGGAAACATAAACCCAGGCGCGCCTCTAATCAATAACAAAATAAAATTGTTGCAAAGTTGGCAAAAATCATACCGAAAAACTTTCATTCCCCTCCCTAGAAGAGCCTTCATTGTCCGTCTCTGTTTCGTCGCTGGCATTTCAATGAATCGTTTACTCTAGCTAGGTTGTGGAGGGGGGGGATGGCGGGAGACAGACAGACATCTACGACGACAAATTGCCTTCGTCCCGTTGTTGCTTTTTGTATTTTTGCCAACCTTGTCGATTTCTATTAGGGTCGTGTCTCTCACTCTCTGCCTGTCTCTCTCCTTCTCCGCATTGAAATGAACTCTTGGCTGGTGCTCATATGTACACATGTGTTGGTGTGTTTAATATTTGCTGTTCGTTTATGCCAAATAATTTGTAGCCCTATTTTCCTTCAGCAATTGTTTATTTGTGTGGAAATATGTGTATTTATACTGATTTTTCTGATCGACTGCTTGCTTGCTGTTACTCACTTTTCACCTTCCAATAGAATGGTGGATCTCTCTTCTCACTCTTCTTCAGATTGCACGCAAGTATAGCTGACCTATTCTAACACTCTGGCTTCTTATCTAAACAAGCGAACTCACCACGCTTTCGTTGCTAATTACACCCTTGGAAAAAAAATAACACTGCAGCGTTTCGCAGTCGAAATACACACATACATTATTACACAGACACACACCCATACATCCACACACTTGCCGTTTGCACAACTGAATGAACTGTAACTCTCATGAATTTATTCCTCCTTCTCGTCTATTCTTTTTGTTTTGTATTATTTTTCTTATTGTCATGTCATCAATAAATGAGTGGAGAAATGAGTAAGAATTGGTCGAATAACTGGGTCAGTGGCTGGCTCTACGGACCAAGGGTTGAGGGGAGGAGATGGAAGCAGCAAAAGCACAAAGAGAGGGTGAGTGAGGTGGCTGCTAGAATCTGCAAAGTCAATGCTAACTCCAACAGTGATGTTTCCCCCCTACCACACCCCCGCCGCAAATCAAAGTTTCATCCCCTTTCAAACACACAATAGAAATGTAGATTTCAATGTCTTTTCACACATTTTTTATGCAAAACCACAATCGCTCTTCCTCTCATACGCCACACAATATAACCTCAAAGGAATTGTCAGCCTCCAGAAGTGTAATCTTTGCACCTTTTCAATAGCAGGGCAGACGAGAGGCTTCAAACCACGTGAGAATTGCCCGCAAACGCCCCTCTCGCCGACGCACACGTTGCATTTATTCAGGAATAAACGGGACAGCGTTGTGCATTGAGGTTAGGGTGAAGGCGAGGGCACGCAAAAGACTTTGAAGTCGGGAGAGAACCCAAAGGGCTGCCCTTTAGCCATTATTTCATCGCATAAATTTGGGAATTATTGAAATATATTGTTGAAGATTGCAAAAGAGACGGAGAGATGGGCGAGTGTGAAAAAACGATAATGCGGCCATTGGGGGCCGGCCATGGCACGCGTCGGCCCTTCATTGTTCGGTAATCGCTTATTATAGTGTATTTGAGGGTATTCTTATGTTAATATCAATATATGGATTGTATATTACCTGTACAATGTTTGGCATCTGTTTTTTATATGCTTTATATCTCTTTTTTCAATTAAATCACACTCGGGCTTGCAAATTCCGACTTGCACTTTCGCGATCTTTTCACTAACTACGGAAGCGACATCTGGCGCTTTTTAACAAAGCTATTACAGGTGCATTGAATTGCACACATTCTTCCATAATCGCATATTCCACTGCAACCAGAACGCATTATTGCTTGATTGTTAATAAAGGGATTATATATTACCGCCGCAGTATACTTTTACTTTTTATAATACAATCTTCTCACTTTTTTTAGCCGCTTAAGTTTCGGGCCACAGCAGTTAGGCGACATCTGGCGCATTTTCGACTGAGCAACGGTGTTATGAAAACAGGTGTGGGAGAACGAAATTGCAAGCATAACCACATATTACATTGCAATTTAAGTGTAATTTTGTGTACATTTCATTAAATAAATACACATTAGTTTTAAAATATGTTTTATACGCTATTTTTCACCTTATCTATCGTTTACCAGTCTTAAGCTTGAATTTCGCGCTCTTCGATCGTGCACTAAAGCGACATCTATCGCAACCAGCACGCAGCTCTGGTATTTTAATACCAGCACTGAAAACGCGTTAGGGTGCAAGGGCAGATATCCACCGTTAATTTACAAAACAAAATTAAATTGCGTATTGTTACGAACTTAAATAAACTCAATCCAACTGCACTTCTAGAATGGAACCGCATCATTAACATGTTTATTGCATAACCATAATTATTGCACAGGCTCGGAGATTCGTTGTTTACAAGTAGGATATCAAAAACGAGGAATATGGCTTACAATCCTCGACGGAGAACGATTAACCCATTGTAAGCCAAGGGGTTATCCACCGAAAATAATGAAAATTTAATAATTTTAGCGCAGTTCAGCTAAAAGATATCGTGTGTTTTTAAAGTTCAGAGGAAAGATGGCATGGTCTACAAGAAGAATTTACAATCAGTAATATTTTGCGTCATTTGCATCAAGTGGTTCAACTGTTTAAATAGAGGGGGCTTAAGTGGGCCGATAAATGGTTATCGATAACATATAAAACAAAAACAGCAACAACAACAAAAACAACGGTGGACATTGGTGGAAATTTCCGCAAAAACGAAATAAAAATAGAAATAGCATCGACCGCCGCGAAAACGACTGCACACAATGCACAAAGGTGCGCCACCCTGGCAATTCGCTGCCACGGTGGAGGCCAACACAGCAGATAAGCAGACGAAGGAGGAAGAAGCATCCGAAAAACTGATAAGATTCGCCATGTCCCCAAACGCCGCAGTAGCTGCAGCAGCCGCATCGCCCCCAACCCTGTGCTGGCTGCTCCTCTTGCTGCTGTGCAGCCTGCCACTGCCCCTGCCCGTGGCAGAGGCCAGCCACATAAGCGGCGACTTCCAGACGGCGGACTTTTTCCAGTTTCTCGTGAAGTTTGGTTTCAACAAGGCCGATCCCCCGACGCGACGCATTGCCTATGGCTATATCTACGGTAATGTCACATCCCCGGAGAACTACACGGCCCCCGTGACCCTGGTGGTGCTGGACAAGTCCACATTTCTGCACTTTTACGGGAACCGCAGTCATCGGAGCAGGGAGGTGGCGTGTTCCACGATGTTCTCGCGGCTGCAGAGCATTGCCTATGATCCCAAGTGCAATCCCCAGGGAAAGCGTGACTTCCTCAGGCATGTGCCCTGTCCCAGGGGGCAGCTGTGCAGCGACGAGGATGCCCCGGCGAATGTAATGCCAGGACATCAGTTTACGTACGTGATCAACCTGGAGGCGGAGCCGCGGTAAGTGGGAGTTCCCTTGGAGCTCGAAAACTCCTCCAATCAGTGTGCTGATTCCTCCTGTTTTGTAGCTTCTGGTACATGGCCCTGGTGGCCTGCTACCAGAATCAGAGCACCTGCCAGTGGCACGCGCACGAGAGCCTGCCGCGGATCAGCAACCGGAGCAGCGGACTGCTCCACACACTGCACTATGATATCCATTTGGTTAATGTGCATCCGAACAACTCGGCAGCACATCCGCTCACCTTTCAGTACTCCTACGACCAGCAGAACCTCCTGGAGATGTACCTAATCTTCCTGCTCGTCTACATTGTGCTCCTGCCCATGCAGATTTATGCGGTGCGGCGTCAAAAGCATCCCGTCACGAAGCTCTTTACGCTGAGTCTGCTCAGCGAATTCGTCAGCCTGGCACTGATCACGGCCCATCTGATCCACTATGCGGCGAATGGAGTGGGCCAGCCACGGCTGCAGGCGGCGGGCGATGTGCTGGACATACTCAGTCGGACCACCTTCATGCTGATCCTCCTGCTGCTCGCCAAGGGATGGGCGGTGACCCGGCAGCAGATCAGTCGCACTGGCTGGATCATCCTAATGTCCATCTGGGTGCCATACTGTGCGTTCCATGTGTTCCTCTACATCTGGGATCGGGTGAGGCTTCCATTACGTCTGTACAATAGATGGATCTTTCTATTTTTGGTCCCACTTTCAGACGGAGGTTGACATTGTATCGGATATCGATGAATACCAGACCTGGCCCGGCTGGATTGTCCTGATCCTGCGGTAATCCTTCATGAAGACTTCTCCATGAATCTCTCTTCTGAAAACCTCTGATACCTTGCAGCACCTCCTTTATGATGTGGTTCCTGTATGAGCTGCGGAACACCATGAAATACGAGCATTCCACGAAGAAATTGGATTTCCTTTTGCATTTGGGCGCCTCCAGCCTGGTGTGGTTCATCTACCTGCCCATTGTGGCCATTGTGGCATTGCAGATCAGCCCCATGTGGCGCTACAAGCTGCTCCAGGGCATTACAAACTCGGCCGACTGTCTGGCCTACTGTGTGATGACGGGTCTGCTGTGGCCCCATCGGGCGGGGCAATATCTCCTGCTCGCAGGCACCAAATATGCAGGTGAGTCCTCGGATGCACCCTATCCGTATAGATCTTGATTCCGCTTTCGCTCCAATACTGTAGGCATGGATGAGCTGGATGAATTCAATGAGGCTCCTCATATTGTCCGCGAACGCGAGCGTCGTAGGAATTCCCCGCCCGATGATATCTCGATTGGAACGAGCAGTGGGAGCCGTGGCATGGTGCTGTCTACGAGCATTCCCCATTCTCTAAACGGCGATGCCTGCAACGATCTGCTCGAGGCAGAGGATTTGGATGCCGAACTACTCACCGATCTGAACAAGAATAGCCATATTGTGGCATAGAATGCCACAGATCTGATACCCCCTCCCCGCTCCCCGCACACAGATACAGAGTTCGAACAGAAAACGGGTTAATTACTAGAATTTTTGTAGAAAATTGTGCTAAATCACGCTACACTAGACATATAGTATATATGTAGCATTACATTGAATCGATGTATATTCCACATAGTCTGTAGACCTACAACGAAGATGGAAAAGAGGGAAAGATAGAAAGTGCAGAAAGCAGAAAGGAGCCGCAGAAATGCAAGTCCAGAAGGATGCCACAAAGATGAAAGTGCAACAGATTGCAGCAAAGATTGTTGTGATTTTATATTAATATGCTTGAATTTATTATTAGTTTTTGTTCTCTCGATCTAAGCCAACGATTAACGACTAGTTTACGCATAGGACAACGATACGACTACGCTTCTGCATCAATCATTTCGTTGTGGTACAAGTACATCGCATAAGCTTACATTTTTAATGAAATAACATAGATATACAGGTCTTAAATAGATCTTGATTTAGATATACATATATATATATACATATATAGAAGAGATTGCCAGATGTTCGTTGAAGCATTCAATCATTAACCAGAGGTATTTTGATAAGAACAAAAAAACCCACTCAAACAAACAACTAACTGAAATACGTGTACACTGCGAAAGATAGTGAAATAAATGAATCAATTTTTAGATAAGTGTAAAATGAATGACTGCGATTTCTTTTGTGGAATCAATGTTTAGATAATAGCCTCTACTTTGTAGGAATTCATTGTTTTAGTCAACATTCTCTTTAGTTTTTATAATTGCTTGGGATACATTTCTTGTCGAAATATGCCGTGACGTGACGGTTCGGAATTGAGAGACTTAAACCTCTGTTTATACTCATGTCGTTATTAGCTTGAAGTCCACAAGGATCGAAAATCACACGCAGAAATGTATTCGAGTACCAAGTTTTCCCTTGCTGTGGACACAGCGTTTACCCTTAAAATACTATAGATATCTATTCAATCTGAGAACCTGTTGCATGTCAGGACCCGATTAGCACTCCTGTCCAGTCCCAGGAGGCAATTTAAGCCACAATTCACCCAAGCAATTCATTTAGTTCTTGGCCAAACGACCTGCAGCATGGTTCACGTTTCGCTGCTGCGCTTCTACTTTGAGCTGAGTCGCCTCATCGGGCTCTGCAACCTGCACTACGATCCGCCTCATCATCGCCTAGTGCTGAATCATGTGCCTACTGTGGTGTATTGCCTCGTCCTGGATGTGGCCTACGTGTTCATCATGCCCTTTGCCTTCTCCCTGCTGGTGGGAAACATTTACGGATGCAAGCAGCTCGGCATGTTCGATGCCGTCTACAATGTGATGGGACAGGCCAAGCTCTTCAGCATGCTGGTGCTCATCGGCGGCGTTTGGCTAAGGCGTTGCCGGATGGAGGGTCTGGGGAATGAATACCTGAAGCTACTGTTTCACTTCCGCTCCGCCGCGCTGAACCACGTGCGGAGGCTCTGCCTGTGGAAGGTGGCACTGACCAGCTCCCGATTTGTGATGCTCATCCAAATCCTCCTGACGCCCAATTCTCTGATGCACTGTAAACACACATTGGATCGGACAGGTGTGGCGCCCTTCTACTTGGCCGCGATGGGGTATGCCCTGATCATGGAGCTGATGGTGACCTATGTGGACGTCACGGTGTACATGATCCATGTGTCTGGCAATTGGTTGATCTCGAGCATGACGGAACGGCTCCAGGAAATGATTGATGATGTGGAGGTCTTGCCAAAGCGTTTGGGTCGTCCTCGAGATATGGGCCTAAGGCAAATCCTGTCCGCCTGGCTTTTACTCTGGCATCGATGCCTGCATCTGGATGATCTTCTCAGGCAGCTCCGGGATATCTTTCAGTGGCAGATTCTGTTCAATCTGGGCACCACTTATATCTTCAGCATTGCCACCGTCTTTCGCCTGTGGATTTACATAGACTATTCCAAAGATTACAGCTTGTGGACGTGCCTCATCATGCTCTTTGTGTTCCTCGCCCACCATTGCGAGGTCATGATGCAGTTTTCCATCTTTCATACGAATACTTCCAAGTGGCGGAAGCTCCAAGAGCAGCTGCAACATCTCTGGTTTCTGAATCAGTCACAGAATGGCGCTGGTCTTACTGCGGAAGTTGTTCTCGCCAGGAAGGTATGTGGGAACATCTCTCTGAAACGATAATTGATTATTGAATCCATATTTTTAGTTGGAGTTTGCCATTCTTTACCTCAATCGGAAGCTCCAAGCGCGGCCGCAACGCGTGCGACACCTTCACATTTTGGGCCTCTTCGACCTGAGTCGTGCCTCCGGCCATGCGATGACCTCTTCTGTATTTAGCAATGCCCTGGTCCTTTGTCAGATCGCCTATAACATATATGGATGATTAATACACTATTTAATTAAGCTTTAACGTTGTTAAAACGAAATACACGAAAATGTAGGGATTGGGATTGTAGGATCAATTGCGAATCGTGTACGAGGTTTCACCTTAAAGAAATGGTGCCACTTCTAGAGAATATGGATGGAATCGTCCAGCGCTGAATTTTCAAAGACTCCTCACCACTTATCAGCTGTATAACTGCTGCATCGTGTATCTGCATCTGCACATTTGGGTATCGGGTGCAACAATTTTCGAATTTTTGATGAAAAATTCACCCTAAATTGGATCAAGGAACTATTCAAAGGAGACATACATGTATCGAACATTTATCCGCCATTTGGGTGGTTCCCCAATGCGACTGCAACTACAGTTTGACAAACACAGCAAATGACAGCAGGGAGGAACTGACTGGGTTTTAAAAAAGTTTAGCACTGAAAAGCCTGTTACGGCTGTGGAGGTTTTCCAGGAATAGGTGAGATTTTTTCAGCAGAAGTGCTAATAGCTTTTGGCATGGCCTGCCCGATGATGGAATGTGCATAATGGAAATGTTTCGTTTGGAAATCATTCGACTCAAATACAGTTTGCCAAAAAAAAAAAAAAACAGATGAAACACTGTGCTTTTAAAAAACCGTTTTTAATTCCTAAGCTTGTTAAAAACTGTACAGTTTTTGGGGGAATGGTTGTGGTGTCGAATGGGTTTCGTGGCCTATAAAAGGCGAACAGCATTCGCCTGTGCCTCATTCGATGGACGTTCTTGGACACAGATACCTCGTCTCGCAAAATCCTTTGGTAATTGTCAACGGAAAATCAGTGAATCAGTGAAGTGTTTAAAAAATTCCTAAAGCAATTTAAAAGCATCAAGTTAATTTTTGTTAAATGAGGAATAGCCATTCTTTCTCTGCAGTGCATCTGTTGTTCCGAACGAGCGTCCATTTTCTCTTCCTGATGTTGGCCGACTCCTTCAGCACCTAAAAAAACGCTAAGCGCAGCGCCACCAAGATGTTTGAGCGGACTGCGGACTCGATGCTCCACCAGAAGGGCCGCATGTCGAAGACCCAATTCATCCAGATGCGCGTGTGCAATGTGGGCGGGCAAATGGCCCCCCAGCTGGGGATTCGATTGATTTTGGCTGCACTTCCCGCAGATTCCCCTTGCGATCTGGAGCGCTGCGGATCGGCCACCATCGACCTTAACAGCATGGGTCTTTCGACACTACGACCCCTTCACGATCGAGGACACCGTCCCCAGCCTGCCGCCACTCTCCTACACTCTCCAAGGAAGATGAAGGACGAGCACTATGTCCGTTTGACGAAGGCGAGGAGGTCAACTTCTTCTTTGGGACCTTCTACGAAGCAGTTCATCAGCTGGGAATGGCCCTAAGCGAGACACTGACCGAAGGAGGCGACATCCGGGGTGAAGTCACGAGCCACAAGTGGTATATTTTATACTTCTAAGATATAAGGAAGTCCTATAAACCAACATAACACACCATAGCCAATTTATTTATTTATACTACAGTCGATCGCCTAGATCTCAAAGGCTATAAGAGCTGGAGCAACAACATTTTGTTCCAATGTTTTTGCAAATGCAATGTTCTTCAGCAGTGAGCGAATGCAATATTTATCAAATGGATAACCCTCTTGGCCTTAACTAGAGATCAGCAGTAATAGTGCTTCGTCAGTGCACAGGATCTGGGAGACGGAGGGCTGTTCAACCAGTATTCAGTCATGGAGTTCCTCTCCTGGTGGGCGACACGCTATGACATTAGTGTCTTGAGACACATAATCTTGCCTTGCAGACCGACGATCTGCGTGCGCGATATGGTGTTTACAGTGTCCTCGAGGAGGCTGTACTGTGGTATCATGTTGGCAAAGATATCTGCATTGAAAGACCATGAGTGCCTCCCAATCCGAATGTGGGTCTTACCTTCGGCATGTTCCTCTGCAAAAGCGCTAATCACCGTACTTTTCGGAAATTCTTCACCGTGTAGATGTCGTGGAGGCCGTTGATCTGGTCGAAGGTGGTGCACATCGCTACAGACCACCCCTAGATGGGCTGAAAGGCCTTTACAGATCAATCATAAGCCCTATACATTTTCTTCAGCGACATTGTGGGCATCTCGGAGCAATGCGCCAGCAGGAGCCCCATGGATGTGTAAAATATCCTGAACAAGCTGTTCATGATGCTCACCACATCCCTAGGGCTGCTGCTGTCGCACCGACCCGTGTGCCCCGCAATGTCGCTGATGAAAATGGTAAGGTAAATTAAAGTTCTGTGAAGTACGTTCAGCCAATCCATGGGTCTGCTGCAGATTTGTGCATCACCTTCGATTAGATCATCGGCTTCTACGACGTCGGCATGGTGAAAACTTTCCGAGCAGAACGTTGATAAGCCCGCTCCCTAAAGAAACTAGACGAATGTAAGATCCAGATTCGCATTGGGAGACACTCAGGGTTTTTTTTTGAAGGTATCTTTGGCAAAATGATACCGCAGTACGGTCTCCTCGAGGACACTGTAAACACCATATCGCGCATGCAGATCGTCGGTCAAAAAGGTAAGATCTATGTGTCTCAAGACACTAATGTCATAGCGGATCGCCCTCCAGGGGAGGAACTCCATGACCGAATACTGTTTGAACAGCCCTCCGTCTCCCAGATCCTGAGCACAGACGAAGCACTATTCCTGTTGATCCTAGTTAAAGCCAAGAGGGTTATCCATTTGATAAATATTGCATTCGCTCACTGCTGAAGAACATTGCATTCGCAAAAACATTGGAACAAAATGTTGTTGCTCCAGCTCTTATAGCCTTTGAGATCTAGGCGATCGACTGTAGTATAAATAAATAAATTGGCTATGGTGTGCTATGATGGTTTATAGGACTTCCTTATATCTTCGAAGTATAAAATATACCACTTTTGGCTCGTGACTCCACACCGGATGTCGCCTCATTTGATGCATATTGCATTCGCTCATTTGTGGACCCAGAGTGTCGTCCTTAGACTCTGTGGGTGATAAGTCGGTTTATAGGACTTTCTTATATTTTATAAAATGTTTGCTATAAGAATAGCTATTTTCGTGGCATTTTCGGTCTCCGAATGTCGATAGAAATTCATTTGGAGACTTTTCAAACTTATCCGCTATACACAAAAAGCTTAAGTGCCATAAAAAGCTTTTATTTCGAAGACGCCATACTTGGTTTATAGAACGTATGTAGAAAAAATTTAAAAACTTTGATGGCATTTATGAACATGAACCCGACACACAAAACAGTCCACTTACAGTAAACATACATACATAGACACATGTGGTATGCATTACAGTTTCGTATTTATAAATTTCAACTGAACTCAGAATCACCATCCACATCTGTCTGAAACCTGCCTGAACTACAACCATTCGAAACACGTATCAAATAAATGCTATCTACTTCCTGCAGTATTCCATTGTAATTATTCACCTATAGACTTCCTATTCCATCTGCTGGCGCCTTATATCGAACTGCATAAGGATGATCACATGGCTGAGAATGGAACCAATGTAGCTGAGGCAGGCGGAGTTGTTGACCTCCACAAGGCCGCAGATTTTATAAGCCAAACGATTACGATGCAACTGAGTAGAAAAAATCTCCAACTGAAAGAGAAATAATGGAATCAATTCCAATTGAATCAGGCATCCCACCACTAACCTCCATTTGCAGTTCTTTGCTGATCTTCCGGAGATCGCAAAACTGTCGAAGGGCCGGGCCCACATTGCACGAGCTGACCACGCGATCCAGCTTTTCCATGAGCATCAGAGTCCCGCACAAGTTGAACAAAACAAGGCCACTGCCAAAGAGGTTACCCCAGCCGTCGGATGGGATTGACTGGTTCCTGTACTGCACGGCATGGTACAGGATGCTCGTGGTGGTCACACACATATTGATAAACAACATTGCATTGGCAACATCGTACAGGCCAAAGAAGTGCCTGGCCAGGTGATATGTGTCCAAATGCAGGGCTGCTATGCGGCGAAGATCCTTCGCCTTCTGTTTTCCACCTTTGCGCCTTTGGAGAGTCCTGAGGGCCAGGAGCACCGCCTGGAACTGATGATCAAGCATCAGGAGCAGCGCATAGAAGGTCATTTTGACTGCCAGGACGTGCAGGAGCTGGGATAACCTTGCGCACAGGGCCGTCAAGCTCTGACGGTTAATCACGCTGAGCAGTTGATACTGAACGACACTCGAACAGAGCAGAGCTCCATAGACCACAATGGTCTGTCGCCAGAAAAGGCTCGTCAGTGAGAGTTGCAGCTTCTCTAGGTCCTGCTGGTCCACCATACGCTTGAGTAGGCGCCTGTAGTTCCTCCAGAGATGCCGCGAATCCACATAGAGCTTCACGAGTTGCCGACGCTGCAGCCAGACGAGACCATAGGAGCAGACAATAGTCACTATTCGCAGGCCCAGCATCAAAAAGAAGTTCCACTGCAGCACAATGTTGTGGTGAATGTAGCCATCCAGGATGGCCTTCGGCACCATAAAGTAGGTGTCCAGCAGGAGACCGCCGCTGATGAGGAGACTGTAGGCCAGATATATCCAAGAAACCTTCTTCACGCGGATGAGCCGGCTATTGCCACGAATATGCAGCGTGGTCCCCATCAGGCCAAAGACGAGCGCGTGGTAGTACGCAACACGCAGAGCCTGACCTAATTTCGGATGCAACATGTTGTTGAGGTAGCCGCCAACCAACTACTCTGGGGCTCCATCGCGCACCGCATGAGTAGGGACGAGCATTAATTAGCTAAAAGTCGGATACACACCGATGAGATTCTGATGGTCTGACAGTTACCGTATCGCATCCTAATTATCTATCACAGTGGGGAGGCTTCCTTCGAATTCAATTGCGAGTCAGCCGTCCCCCGAGGTAGTTCATGCAATGAGTATCGGCTTGCTGCTGAAAACCTTTCATAGTTATGGCCTGGGCAGTGGCCTGCTCCCGGCTCCTCTGCGCCTGGACCTGGACTTGGACCGCATTCACTTCAGTAAGCGATCGCATCAACGTCGCTTCTACCTCGCATACACGGCCTGTCTGCATGTGCTGCTCATTGTTCTGCTGCCCTGCACATTTCCGGTGTTCATGTACGACGAGAGCTATATGAGGGACAGGCTAGTGCTGCAGTGGGCCTTCAATCTGACGAACGTTACCAGGATAATGGCGATGATTGCCTGCGGCTATCTGACGTGGACCAAGAGGAAACCGCTGCTGCAGTTGGGAGAGGGCTTGGCGAGACACTGCCACAGATGCCGCCTGCTGGAGAACGGCGCTTTGCATCCCTCGGGCTACAGGGAGCTCCAGAAAAGGATTCGCGGCCTGCTGCGTCAGCAGGTCTTTGTCCTGAATCTCAGCATAGTGTCCGGCACGCTTCTTTTGATGCGCATTGATACGGATGTGCGGCGAAGCAATATCATAATGGTAGTCGTCCACATGCTGCAGTTCATCTACGTGAGCATCATGATGTCCGGGCTGTATGTCATCTGTCTGCTCCTCTACTGGCAGATGGAACGCGTGAATCTTGCCTTAAAGGATCTCTGCTCGCGACTGCACCACAAGGAGCGGAACGCACTGCTGCTGTCCGCATCGCTGGCCAGGCAGACGCTCCACAGCCTTGGCCATCTGCTCCAGCTGCACTGCGAGGGCCAGCGATTGATGCGGAGTCTCTTTGGCATCTTTGATGTTACCATTGCCTTTCTGCTGCTCAAAATGTTCGTGACGAATGTGAATTTGTTGTACCACGCCGTACAGTTTGGCAACGATTCCATAGATACCACCAGCGTGACCAAGCTGTGGGGAGAGTCGTTGATCGTCACCCACTACTGGACTGCGGTGCTCCTGATGAACCTCGTCGATGATCTGACGCACCAAAATGGCCTCGAAACAGGGGAAATTCTGCGTCAATTCAGCGATCTGGAGCTGGTCAAAAGGGAGTTCCAATTGGAGGTGATTTCCGAACACTGCTTACAATATATATTACCCTGTTTTTTCCTTGCAGTTGGAGCGCTTCTCGGATCACTTGCGTTGCCATTCCACCGCCTACAAATGCTGCGGTCTTTTTGTGTTCAACAAGCAAACGAGCCTCATATATTTCTTCTCGGCTCTGGTGAACGTTTTGGTGCTTTATCAATTTGATTTGAAGAACAGCGTCTTGGAAATTCCCTAGAATAACAAACACGAAGCAGGCAATCAGCTGTTGGGCAAGCGATCCACTCAACTAACCACAGAGCTGCAGCGGTTCACGCTAGAGGTGGGCCTACTATCGGCATGAAATAATTATTATTGTATGCATACAAATGTATGTATAAAAGAATATGTTTTTTTTTTTATTTATCGTCCAAAAATCGGTTGTGAAGCCCGAAGTCCGAAGTCCAGACACCACGCGCGCATCACTAGCTCACACAATTCACCAAATGGTGCGAGAGGGATGGCTAGTGATTTCAAGTTATGGTGAATTTCAGCGATCAAAGGCGTGAAAAGTGCTAAAGCGTGTTGTTTCTTCGTAAATTTACAAAATAATTAAAGAAAATGTTTGTTTTCGTGCTGTTTAATTGCTCCTCACTTAGTTTAACAGGCATTAAATATTAAAAGCCATTAATCAAATGGGTTTTCTTGCGCAACAACAAAGTTCCTGCGGGAATATGACATGCGGCAGCGGGCGGTAAGTGTGTGTGTGTTCGTTTGAGGTTATGTGTGCATACTGTGATATTATATTTGTTTGCTTATGTATTTTAGGGCTGGCAAAAATCATAATGTATTCACTCGGCCCCACCGCAGGGGTAAGTTAATTTATCCCAGATATGTCAAATGTTGATTTGGGCCTTTCAATAAGCTCATCAATTCTATACAAAACGCACATACACACGTGCTCACGAACATGCGTAAGTATGGTAATCCCCATTACGGACGGATGGACGGACGAAGAGACCACAGCGAGGCAGGCCTCATCAAATTTAATGAAGAAGAACCCCATACATCCACCGGCTGGCAGGAAGTCAGGGAGTCCAGGAGCAGGACATGTCCATTAAATCTGGCCCAGCTATGGGACTGTTCAACCATCTTACTCCGTCAACCTGCTCCACATCGATATTTCTCAGCTGCTTTTTGTATTAATTCCAATTATACGCACGACTGGGGAATTTTCATTTGCCCTGAAAGGATTTCGGGTCATTATGAGCTTCCCTTCGACTTATAGCCCAGCAGCTGCCTGCCACTGCCTGCTCTTCCACCCAACCCACATCCGCCCGACCGCCAGAGTCGCATTTGTATTGTTTTTGGGACTGTACCTAGTCCCAGGCCGCCTCCTGGTAGGGGACTCCGACTGCGGATAATTGGCCAAGGCTTTCGGGCGAGTATATTGATTGCGGGCTGGAGTGCCCATGACATGTCTCGAAACCCCAAATATGAAAACAAACAAGATTTCTTTTGAAACTAATTAGGAAAACGTTGCCGGTTTATTTGCATCCCCAGCCCGTCAGCCCATCAGCCCCCCTCGTCGCAGCCACTGTAATGTGTGTTTGTGTTCGATTTAATTAACCCTTTGGCAGCCATAAGCCGTAATGAAAATTATGAAATTTCTGTCCTCAACCCAGTCCCGTACCATACCGAAATATTGCCCAGTCAGCAGTTGCTGATACTGCAATTTACCTTCTGACGGCACTGTACTTTAGCTGGCGGATGATAAATGATTTTCGACATAATCCCCAAGCTGCAGGGCAAAACTAATTAGATTTTAATGATGCTATAGAATTGATTTTTCTGATACAATATCTAGCTACCGCCGAATCATAGTCGAGAACTGGATCCAATTTTGGGGAAATATTCTCGCTTCCCTGCTTTTTGCATGCCCTTAAAATGCAATTAATTTGTTATAAAGTTTTTGGAGCCAATAGTTTCAGAGCAAAGTCCGACTAAGCCCCGAAATAGACATGGACAAGTTTGTGTCGGTCGGATGTCTGGAGATGCAGAGCGGGGGGCAGGCGAGTGGTGGGGCAGTTATCAACACCAGCTATGGGGCAACCACATGAAAGTCGGTCAAGTTATTTTCCTCACTTAAAATACACTCGCCTACTGGAAACTGGAAACTGGAGCTCGGGCCTGAGCTTGCTCTTTGGCTTGGGGAGGCAACCGAATTTTCTTTTGCCTACCGCTTTCTGGGTTAGCTTTTCATGCTCAGGTCCTGCCTCCGTTGTCATCGTCGTCGCCTCTGCGCATAAATATAAATTGTATTGTTTCAAAAAAGTTTTTCCCCATCCGAGTTTCTGCGGCCAGCGGAAAAAGTAGTTAAAGTTTTGTTTTCGCCGCTAGTTTATTGCGTGATTTCCTTTGCCATGACAGGAGAAGGCGGTGGGGGCAGCAGAGAGCTAGGGTGGGTGGGTGGTCCCGGCGAGAAAGCATTTTGCCACATAATTTACAGTCCGCTCAAAGTGTATTTGTGTGGGCTTTTAACAAGTTTTTGGGGCATTAAAAGGGGATAATGGAAGCGAGAGAGAAGCTGCAGGGATACTCATTACATAAACTGATGGATTGTAAAACTAGACTTGTCATTATCTTTCAGATACTCGCGCCAGCATGAAGATATTCAAGGACTAAACCGAATCGCTTTAAAACATTCGAAAACTCAGAAGAGAAGTCAGCTGTGGCACAGCTGCTTTAAGTGTTGAAAATCCCTACTTGTCCACTGATATATTTTTAGTGGTAAATTCAGCTGATTGCTTTGGTTATTTGAAACATTTATCTAAACCGCACGACAGGTGCCTGCTATGTTCCACCTTCAAGCGCACTTCAAGTCCCATGGAATCGTGTGGAGTGAAGGGTACTTTGTGGCAGGGGAAACTCTTTATACATTTTCGCTGTTCGCTATTCGCCGTTCGCCAGTCGAATGCAACCATTATGCACGTCCCGCAACGTGACCAGCAGCCATTGAGAGAGAGAGAGAGTCCTCTCCGAGGGTTTCGAGGCAGCGGTGGCGTTCTGAAATGGTTGTGAAAGCACTCTACAGATGGACGCTTTTCATTTTGAGTCTTTGGTCTGGCATTTCTAATTGCATTTTTACTTAGTTCAGGAGTCAAAGTTTCTTGGCCACGTTTGTGGCTGGGATCTGGGATCTGGGATCCCCCGCCGTGCGTAAAGTTTAATTAAACGTGTTTGATTTATGACTTGCTGGGCATTCAGCTCCTGGGGAATGTGGACCGCCGGCAGCTGCAACCGCAATTCCAATTCCGAAAATCTAATGCGTTTATTTTTGGTGGGTGGCGAAAAGTTTTCCCACTCCCGCGCCATTTCCACGATGGCCATAAAAGCCAGGCAAGGCACCTTTATGGCCACTGCAGCTGTCCGTGTGTGCGTGTGTGTGTGTGTGTGTGGAGTGGAGTGCCATGTGCCATATGATTTCCTTTTCCGCTTCCGTTTGAACACACAATTTCCAGCACCTTGCGGATACTTCTCTCTCTTACACTCGTCCCTGTCCTTTGGTCATATTCCATTAGGCGTTTATTGTTTTCATGGGTATTAAAGTTGCATTTTCCTCGAAAAAAAAAACAAACGGAAAAACAAGCAAAGTTTTCCCCTCAACAAGTTCATCAAAGTGGCTCACACACACACAGCAGGTGGGATTCGAGGACCAATCTAGGCGCAAATCCCCAAGCTTAGGTCGAGGGGCCAGCGGCGGCAAATCAGGTCAGGCCACAAGCCACAAATCTCTTGCTCAATCCATGCTGAAAAATATTCCACGATAATCAACTTTGATACACGTAGGCTTTGCCTAGTCTCCGCCGACCCCGCGCCCGTTCCATGCCATGCATTAAAATGCCGAAAATGATTGGGAAAATCGCAAAGGAAAATCCGGAAAGGCAAGCGACGAGCACAATCCCAAAACACAAATCTCCGTCTTACAACGGCCCCAAGGCCGACGGGAGGCGGTGGGTGATAGCCGTCGGCGTCCCTTTCCCTTGTCCATATTTTTTATGGGGCCGCATGAAAATGGAAAAACTTTATGTTAAAGAGAGAGAGAGAGAGAGAGTGGGTGGGGTGTAGCGCCTCTGCCGATGAACTGGGTGGATAATCGTGGGGCCGTTTATGGGCAGTGGCTTAGCCTTGGACCGATGTGGCTTCTGTTTGTGGTAGTGTTTTGTGTGGGTGGGCTGTGGTGGGGGGGGGGGTGCAAGATGTTGGCTAGATTACGGCGGAGTCCCAAGTGTTTTTGGTCGGAAAGGTAAATGGAAATGCATGGCCTCCGATTGGATTACAATTAGGATAGATGCCGAGTACATTTCGTAGTTTTGTGGTGCGTTTAAACAGCTGTTTGCACTCTCAAAGCCAGGGCAAACGCCTTCTTAGCGCTGGAGCCAACTGTCTAACTGAATAATTACCACGTGGTCTGAATTGTGTCGTAGTGCAGCCACTAATTGGTCTGATTGCGAGAACACTCTTTGGCAAAAAACATAATCCCACAATGTGACAAAACAACCAGAGAAGGACACAACCAAAACACGCATCAGTTCATCTATAATCCACTAGAAAATATTTTCATAAATGGGCGAAAATAAATACATACCGATGCACATCTTTCCGCATATTTATATTGAAATTATAGAAATTTATTCACAAATAAAATTTCACATTTAACATGACCAATTAATGTGCGGCAAAGCCGCAAATAAAACCGCTTAATTACGTGTCACGGCCCAAAAGGCAGAGGACATAGCCAGTCGGAGTCCAGACGAGTCACACCGAATGGAAATTTGCATGACACGCATCGAAATGAAATAATAATATGGTTAATAAAGCCAGCCGCATCTGATTCATTCACTGCGGGTATACATGGCGATATCCGATGGTCCCAGCTTTCCCATTCCCATTGCCGCATCGCCACAATCCAATATCGATCCCCCGGACTCGGACTCGGGTTCGGGCTCGGTGCCCAATTATCGCACTTATTTCGCTGCTAATTAAAATGCAATTATTTGCTTTTAACAACATAATCCCATTGACAGCCATTTTATTTGTGTGGCTGCTGCGACAAGGTCTGCTTCTCGCCATGGAGTCTACCACTTTGCCATAGCTATAGCATTGCCTCCAGGCCGATCAATTATGTACTACATATGTACATATAGGCTGCACTCGCACTAGTAGATTGGGTGGAGAGCACATTCAAATGGGAAATCATATTTAAAGCTTCCTTTCAGCTGGAAATCTCTTTTTGAGGATGAACAGACGCAAGTATTTATCGTAGGTTGTTTACATTCTTAAATGCCGTTATAATTGTTTTGTTTTCATTTTTTTTAAGATGCAAATCTCTGGAATGGAAATGCTTACCAAATTACAGGATGGTTCTGAGAGAGTTCCATGCCAAAAAAGGCTATACTAAAGTTGCGAACATCTGAGAGCTGAAAAGCTATGGTTGCTTCGATTTCTAAAATGGAAACAGACTTCCAGAAATATGTATACAGCCAATTTCTCGGCTGACATATAAGCAAACTGTCACTGAAATACAGATATATATTATGTTTTCTCTCCCATACGCGAGAACAACATTAAAAAAGACCATTAAAAACCACCGTAATTATGTACAATCTTTAATTAAACGGAATTTACCGCCCCCCCCATAAGATATTCATTTACATAAAAACCCAACAGATGTTGCCTTTATCACTGCTCGTCGTCCTCTTCATCATCCTCGGCTGTGATGTGGAGACGTGCCGTCTGGGAAATGTTACCAATGCGAGTTGTCTGTGTTTTCGGCAATGGATTCACAAATATGCCCGCATTGGCGGCCACGTTGCGTGCAGCCTCTTCCACGTATATGTTGATGATCTGCCACAAGGTGAGGCGTTCCGCATAGCCATGGGTGCGCGCATGCTGGACAGCCGCCGTCACGATCCAGGTGAAGTTGAGGACACCCGCATTGAAGATGTGCAGCCAGTAGATCATCTGACTGTCGTCCGTCTGGTTGAGGCCGTCGACGGCCGTTTGCGGCACTGAAAGGGGCACGGGTGGCAGTAGTGGCAGTGGCACCGAAATGGGACATGGTACTGGAGCCATGGTGGGAAGCGTATATGATGTGGGCATTACAGATGGAGTCTGCATCTGCATCGATAGGGAGTCCCTCATGTACTTCCGGTCAGCTGCCAATGAATGCCCATTAAAGTTGCGCTTCTGCGGCAGCTTCAGGACTTGCAGCGGCGATGGCTTCTTGTCCAAGTCTGCGTGACGAAATGGAGATTTTTTTTGATGAATTTCTACTCGATAGAAACACTTGGGACTTGGGCATGTACTTACTCTGCTTATCTTTGGTCTCGCGAGCGGAGCGCTGCTCGGAGCGCTTCACCCAGCCACGGACCGTGGACTCGGGCACGCCCAGCTCACGGGAGATGCCGGCCTTGGTCTCTCCGTTGAGTATGCGGGCAATGGCCTGCTCCTTCTGTTCCATCGATACCTGGACGCGCGGACGCTTGCCACGTGGTGCACCGAATTTCTCCATTGCTTAACCAAAGAGTATCTCAATTTCAGAAAAAGATGAACACAAAGGAAGAACTTTCCACAAAAAAGAACTGATGTCGTCTTAGTATTTTTTTCACAAATTCACGTTCGCCTTTTGTTCGTCGCGTACGTTTGCGCCTGCTCGCCTGCTGACATATAAATCGCCGACGTCGTCGCCGTCCCTTTCTCGCGTCTCTCTACTCTACGCTTTCGTTGAGCCTGTTCATCGCTTACTTTCTTTTGCTTTTCGTCGTTTCCATCTGGCAGTGCCGTATTTTCACCACGTTACGCGGCAGAGTTGCAATATTTCATTTCCTCTTCGACTCTTTTTCTTGTTCTTTATGTTCTCTTTGCTATTTGTATTGGTGCTATCTCTCTCCCTCTCAATGAGTCGTTTACCCCTTTCGCCGTGCTTTTTATTACGCGGTGAAGGTTTCATGTCTTGCTTTCACCTATTCTCCTTCTCCTTTCTTTTGGCAATGCTGTATATTCACCACAGTGACAGTCACACATGTTGTTTCTTTCTTTCATTGTGGCGTTGCATTGGTATTGGTCGACGTGCTTTCCCCTCCTTTCGATTCAATTAAAACGTGTTTAATATCGCAATTTATTATTTAATTTCGCATTTATTGTTTTATTTATACATTTAATTCTGATGTACACTAAAATATGTGTCCTAATATCTGGCTTTCTTCTGCCTTTCTTTGACTCTTGCTTCTTCTTCGGGCATTGCTGAAGAAAAAGTTGCATTGTCACGGGGTTAAACTGTACCTTTAAGGTGCATGTTGGGTGTGATTCGTATCGTGTGGGGGGTGTGGTTGTGGGGGGGTGAATAAAAGGAAAACTTGATAAAAGAACAAGACAGCAATGCCCTTTCCTATACCGACTTAAATACTAAAAACCCTTTCCACATTTCAATTTACAATTTTTCATTATTTCTGGGGGCGCAAGAAAATGTTATATTTCACCGAATTTCCTCACAAAATATTTGCAATTACACCCACACACATCTAAATGGAATACACTGTTGTTCTGGGATGGCAAGGGAGGGGGAAAGGTTCTCCTTTCAATTATGTTCTATGTAAATCTATGTGCAAAAAATATACCCTATGTAATGTAATATATTGTATATCGTACATTATATACATATTCATGCATGTATATGTATGTATGGCCAAATAATCGTGGCTTTTCCTTGTGGTTTTTGTTTGACAATTTGCCAATATTAACACAATGGCCTCACGTATTATATTTCATAGATATAATAGCTAATAGAAAACCAACCAAACCACCAACAATTGTTATTAATATGTTGAATTAAATTTCTGAGTGTTTATCTGTGCTTTTTGTTTGTTTTTGTTTCATGTTTTGCCATTTTACCTGTCTACCTTAATTAAAGTCTAGTTTCTTTATGCCTTTTCGAAAGTATTGGTTTTTTGTTTCAACATTCCTCATTTTAACAATTATCACATGACAATTTCTCATGTTTTAATTAATTTATTCAGGGCAATTTTCATATTTTCTTTTTTTTTTTTACTTTTTTTTGTGTGTTTCTTTGTTTTTTAAACATTTATATGTTTGAAGGGCATTTTTTATCGCCTTTTTTTATCGTACAATTATTTTCAATTAATATTCATTAGATGTCACGTAAAGGGAAAGTTATAGACTCGACCGGTCAGAATTACTTACATATAGGGTTTGGATTTGGGCTGGGCTTTTTCCCCTTTTCAGAAACGATTGGCAGATTGTTGTGGGAGTTTCTGGCAGTGTCTGGCACCATGGATGAAAAGTGTGCATTAGAGCTCTTGGTAGCTCTTGCAATTTCTGCTTGGTTGTCACAAGAGTTTTACTTGATGTGTGTTTTCTTAATAAAATGTAACCTAAATCTTTGATATTTGTTTTACTAAAATGTACCTAAAGCTAACATATCATCTCTAATGGAACCCACAAATTATGAAATTAAATCAAGGAAATACAATACTTTTGGCATATTCTCTAATGCGCATCCACACATCTTTAAAGTACACCTGGAAAACAAATTCATTCTGCACCGAACTCTACTCTAAATGTTTGCCACTTTTCGTTGATTCTCTACTACACTGTGATTCCCTCAAAAACTGGTAACACATCTCGTTAGCTCCCCAGAGATGTTGCCCTATCGCCCTCCTTATACGCCCAGTCTCCCTGAAAGTCAATATCATATCTGAAATGTCTGTCAAAATGTCTGTCCATTTAGTAATCCTCCTGCAATTGATGCAACCCCGACTGCTTGGGCGACCGACGGCACATCCGGCGCAAGATGGCAAAGAGCAGGGCGAACATCAGGCACAGGCCCAGGGCGATGAGGGAGAGCTTCCCGTAGGGCAGCTCGCTGAGGTCCCGTCGCAGACAGATCTCCGGCGACTCGTCGTGCAGGACCAGCTGGCGGTACTCGCCGGCGTGGTGGAGGAGGCCGAGCTGCTCGAGGTTCCACTCGATGTGACGCGTCAGTTGGTCGAGCGTCGAGGAGTGCGTCACGTTGGGGCAATTGGCCACCCCGTTGCAGAGCAGGTGGCGGGGTATGCAGACCTCTGTGTCGCCGGGGCAGCGGAAGTCGCAGCCGGCGTCCTGCAGGAGGGAGGCGGCCAGACTGCCGTCGGGATTGCGCGGCAGGTGGAAGAGCTCGCTCCAGACCAGGCGGAAAATGTTGCGTCCCGGCTGCCCGTCGCCCGTGTACTGGATGAGCACGGGCAGTGGCTCCTGGTCGGCCCCGGTGGCCCCCAGCTCGGCCGTGGTCAGGATGGGCAGGTCCCGGGCCATTGATATGTTCTCCGGGCAGACAACGAAGCGCGGCTCCAGGCGGCCGGCCAGATACACCTCGATCTTGGCACTCTCGCAGCTGCGGTCGGCGAAGCGCGCCTTCTCCAGATTGAGCCACAGGTCCCGCTGGGCGGCCACCTTCAGTTCCCAGATGCACTTCTCGCGGCGGTAGTGGTGCTCGGGTGGAGCCATCGGTCCGGCCACCATCGCGAGGGCCTTCTTGTAGGGGAACACCAGCTCCCCGTCCGGCGAGGGCCCCAAGGTGATGGGGCCGCACAGCGGACCGTGGGCGAACTCGTAGGTGGCCTCGAAGAGCGGATTGGGGTTCTTGAAGTAGGAGGTGATGGCGTGCTGGCCCTGGACGATCATCTCGAGGTTCATCTGGTCCGCCGACGAGATGACGCGCACCGCCCGCGGTATGTTGTCGCAGAAGCAGGCGAGGTTGTTCTGGTACTTGTCCCGCTCCTCCCAGATGACCAGCTTGTCCACCCGCTCCTCGTGGCACCTGGTGCACGCGTTGCTGTTGTACGGCAGCTCCTTGAAGGACACCGAATTCACCTCGATAATGGCCCGTGCGTACAGCCTCTTGTCCGTCACGAACTTGTACTGGCACCGCACATCGCTGCCGCCCGTGCGCTTGAAGATCAGCGAATTGAGGGGCGACCGGAGGCGTCCGCCCGGGTGCTTCCAGGCGTACATCACCTCGTCGCACAGGGTGTTCGGAACGGGGTCGCCGAAGCGCGTGTTGTTGAAGAAGTCGTAGTGGGCCCAGTAGTACAGTGAGCTGCCGCTGTAGCTGCCCGTCTTCGAGTCGAACTGCACGTACAACGAGGGGCTGGTGCTCACAAAGTCCACCTTCTCCATTGGCCGCGAGAAGGTGTCGCAGAAGGTCTTGATGATCCGAGCGGGATCGGCGTGGTCCGAATCGTAGATCGTCAGCGATTCGCCGCAGTCTCCCTCGTACTTCAGTATCGGCGACTCGATGCGATTGATGCGGAAGCTGCAAAGAAAAGTGGAAAAGGGTACAAAAATGGTTGACAATCATAAATCTAGCCCAGCATGTGGCAGGGTCTGGCATGGTGCCAGGCCGCAGTACAATTTAATATAAATTCCCCCCGAGCTAACAGGTGAATTCTCTCACGTCTGAGGGGTTTTCTGGGTCCGCGATGTGAGCTGCATGCTTTCCAGTGTTAAATTGCATTCCAAAACTATTTGCGGCAGCCCCACAGAATATTTGCAACGAGCTGATGTGGAAGGCCAATTTTCTGCAGTAATTTCGGGGATTGCAGGGTCTGCAGGGATTACTTTTACTTCGGCCAGAGGAACTTAGAAATATACCAAAATATACCTTTTTATTTTCCAAAATATGGTATGTATATATTTATACTTATATATGCTGTCAAGAAGTGAAAGGATGGGGGAAACTCTGGGGTTCCATGGTTCCTGGTTCAAATGGAAACTCTTACAGAAAACCGGCATCTCCATATTTGCCATAATTTACCCGTATTTCACGGCTTATACTCATTGCAAAAATACTCATCTCGATTACATTTCCAGCTCTTTTATTCGCAGAGCCGCTCCTGCATTATGCCACAAATTCCACAAATTATTATGTACAAAAATGTGACCGACTGCTGCTTAGCCATTCGTTCATGTGTATCCTGTATCCTTTTATATAACCATTTCAGACTGCGGTGAATGCAATTACATTACTATGCTCTATCCAAAAATATGACATAATACAACATTTTATTAACCCACACAAAAAGTTGCGGCTGAGGAGGAGGGCAGCAAGAAATCACCATCATCAGCAGTATGCTGTGGGGGAAATGGGGGGAGGCACCCGCCAGCTACGCCCCCTAATCTACCTCCCTGGCGGCGCAGTGTGGCACAAATTTCATTTGGTTTCTCTTACTCTCTCTTGTTTTTTATGGCAGTCTGTGAGTCCCCACCACTATTCATAATAGAGCAGAGTTACTATTTTTTATTTTTACTCTTTTTTGTAGCCATTCCCCTACTCGACGTGCCCATAGCGTCATTCACGTACGCGTCGTCGAAAAGTAAGCCCCAACGCCCTGCGGCATGTCCTCGTAATCCGTTTGCAGCCTAGCCTAGTTCCAGGGACCAGAGAGTCTCCCCCAAAAGCCAGTCCGTCCTCAGTTCTGCTGACTCAGTGGGCGGTAGGGGGGTTCTTTGCTCAGAGGTGGGGCCCTGCTGGTTTGTCAACTGGTTTGCTTGGTTATGTGCATATGGGAGTCGATTGGTGTCGTGGCCAAAAGCCCAAAGCGCCAGTTTATGCGGCCATAAGGCTTATAAATAGCCCAAGCACGAGTATGTGCCACGTCTTGTGCATTTCAAGCGGATTTTTGTTGTGCTTTTTGTGGTCTTTTTTTCTGGCCTATTGCAAAGCTTGTAAATGGATGGTCCTATTCGGGGAAAATGAAGGTGGTGTATGGCTACAATTGATTTTCTTTTGGTTATTGATTGTGGGTTACAGGGTTACGAGGTATCGAGGTACCGAGGCGCACTTTGTGTATCGGTATAATGTTTTATTGGGGCATTCTATTAGTGGTTTATGGTATGTAATGCAATATATAGAAAGCGAATGGATAAAAAGAAACGCCTGGCCCCAGAAATCTATACACAGCTTCATTTCTGGCTGTGCTGGCGAGGAATATGCAGAGAAATTGGTTCAAAATAGGGCTTGAATGTGCTCATAAGTATATTTTAAGTAGAGTGATAATGTGATATAGCGGAACTGGCTTTGAGACTTTCGTTTTCGTTAAACAGGATTACTTTGAGTACAAAAAGTCGGTAAACCTGAGTCACACTAAACCATAAAGTTAGATAGGTTCCACCATTAATTAGTAGATAGAACAACTCAGTATATAGCCCTAATTTTATCCAGCAGACAATAGCGGATAGCAGCAGACACTAAGTAGTTAGTAGCTTGATGTAGATCGACAGCTGCCCAAGTGTCTGTGTGTGTCCAAGCAAATGGATTGTTTTTCCACGCTCTCTCTCTTTTTCTCTCTGCGTAGCCGAAAACTTAAGTGCAATATACTCAAGGAGTAATTCAACATCTGGTCAGACCACTGGGGGGAAAAAAAGAGTAGAGGACAAAGTCGTAGCAAACAAAAACGGAAGAAGCAACCGAAAGCAAAGCCATGACATGTTACTTAAATGAGCAACTTTGTTGGAAACAATGTCGACAGCGTCTAGACTCCAGCGACAGGCCGCAGGACGAACAGGAGAGTGAGCGCACACCCACATATATATGTATGTAGCTACTCGTAGATGTACTCAAGGTTTTGCGGGAGGAGCCTGAATGTGAACTGAAATTTCTCCTAGAGGAGGACTACGGAAGAACCTCTTCTAATGGTCTGCAATTGTTGTAGCTGTTGTTGTGGGCGTTTTGCAACAATTTGAGAGAGAAGTTGCCGGCAAATAACAACAACGAGAACGAGTACAGCAACGAATCCAACAACGAGAACGAGTGCTAACTGGAGACCCAAGAAAAAGACAACAACTTCCTCAGAAAAGTGCATGAGAACGTTGTGTGTGCGTTTTCCCATTGCATTTTTAGTCTACTTTGGAACTTTTGCCCCAAACAACAACAAACTAACGTGGCTTTTCCATTCTCTTGCCCAAGCACGCCCCCTTTCTGTATCACTCTCTCGCTCTCCCTGTCTTGCTGTCTCCGTCGATTGCTTACGCCATGTTCGGTTGCATTTTGTGCACTGTAATCACGCAATCATGTAGCCCACTTCTGAACTCCTAATGGCAATCGGTGTAAACGTGCGCACAACTTTTCCACCTGCCCCACGCTCGGGGGGACCCCATGCAATGGGGTGTACCTCTCCTTTATTGGGGTGGTGCACGGACCTCGCTCCTTGCCTTGCCTCATTTTGTAGGTGGACATAAATATTTATCTTTTGGCAAAAACTTGTTTGATATTTTAACCCTCTCCTGTCCGTTGGCCGCCTGCCTGCTCGATCTCTTCCTGTCCATCTGCCCATCCCTGCCCTGTGTGATGTCTACCCTGTACATAGTTTTCTTTAGCAGTTTCCCAGCAAAAACTTGGCAACATTTTCTGCATAAATTACAGGAGTTGCAACAACCAAGTACGGCAAGGGCGGATGTGTGCCTGCCTGTATGTGTGTGTGTGTGTGTGTATGGGAAAGGGGGTCAACGAATCATTGCAATTGCAGCTGGATTACGGATAAAGCGTTGTACTCGTGTTCGAGAAAATGGGAAAGGTGTAGGCAACAAAGGAAGGAGGTATTCGGGATCCATTGGGAGATTAGCATTGGAAGAATGGGGGGATATCTCTGGGTACTTTTCAATCCAAAACGAAGGCCACTCAACAGTTCTGCAACTCCTCCTCAATCATACAGAACAGAAAATGAACAATCTGCAACCAGATTTCACTTAATTTCAACCAACTGCACTCGCTCACAAACCCACAACAGAATTCATGTTTATTATGGCATTACTGCAAGTTTAAGTCGCTTGTTTACCGCTTAACCAAATAAAATCCCTAAATTATGCTTCTAATATGAAATTTCCTCTGAAAATGTACTTTGGAAACTCCTTTCTTTATCTGGTTTTCCCTGAAAAGTTTCGCAACCATCAATGTGCCCTCAAAGTGTCAGAGTTGGAAAACTTTGCCATAGTCTTTGGATTCATCCTTATAGTCGTTTTCATTCCTTATCCTTTATGCCAAAAACCGCAGCACAATAAAATATTTCACAGGCCAGCAATGGAAATGAAGGGGAAATGCAGTGGAAAATACTCGGTGCTCGGTACTCGGTACTCGTCCTCTCGTACTCGAAATGAAATGAAATGCACAATCGATGCGACACTTGGCCAAAAAGTTCAGAGAGACTCTGGCACTTCAGACACAAACAACGGCCTGGCGACAAACACTTTGACTACTGCCGGCTCTGAACAATGTAAAAAATATATATATTACTGAATATATATATATGCGGATATATGCGGAGTGTGTTTGTGGTGAACAACTTCAGCTCCGACACGTTAAATTAAAATGTCACATAAATCTTTGCGGAAAATTTCATTAAAATACGCTTACAGCATAGAACGCAATGAGGAAAGCTCCGGCCCGAGTAGAGCCCAAGCCCAAGCCCAAGCCCGAGGATTGCCAACACAAGGAGGCAGGGGGTGATGGTAGGTGGTGGAGGAAGGAAATGCAAACCGCCCCCACATAGCCGCAAAACTTTGCACTTGTAGAGAAAAGACCGACAAACGGATTTCGGACTGTAGAGGGATCAACTGGGATGCTTCTTGTCGGAAGAAAACTGGTTACAAAATGAAAATTTTAATGGAAAAACTTGAAAAGGCAAATGCTTGGGGGAGGCCATTGGTGACCCTGATCGTTACGACTCCAAAGGGAATCTCCTTGGTCATATGTTGTCAAATAAATCAGCGAGGCAGCAAATGACACGATAGACAGGATAAACTATTTTTATAGTTGAAAATTGATCCCAAAAGGGGCCCATACTTTTTACTTTCTTTAACTCCTACTATAATCCGCAGTTGTTTGAAGAGGTGACCCCGATCCGTCGGCTTTTTTCGACGTAGGTTATAAGAGACACAACATTTTGAAAGAAGCCAACGAGAAAATCAATTTATATTTGATTTATAATTCGTAATAAGCTCCTTACATCCTCCTTACCTCCTTAATCTCCTAAAATAAGTAAAGAGTGACCCCGACGCTGAAATTTTAAGAGCTGATGCCACAAATTGTACAACATCACGTAAATAATTATGACAGGATCATTGAGGAAACCACAATCCTGTTGGATAACAACCCTTACATGCGGCTGCCCCCTCCGAAGCCAATCACCCTAATGGGCAAGTTCCTAATGAAATTAATGGAATATGTAATGCTTACCTAGGGAAATAGAGCCGCACAATTTCCCCGACATGTCCTTTGATGTGATAGCTGCAGGACGTATTCGGCGGATACCAGTGGGCAATGCTCAGGAAGATGCCCTCGCTGGCGCTGCTGTCCTTCAGTGAGTCGGAGCTCAGCAGCCAGTCGCAGACCCCATGCTTAATGCCGGCCGTCTCCACGTGGCCTGGCCAGTTGCCAACATTGAAATGGAAGCCCGTATTCAGCAGCGGCCCCGCGGGCGATGTAACAAACTCCACATACATATATTGTGATGTGCCTACAGACGATGGGAAGGATGAGAAATGGAAATGTTGTGGATGAGACTGACATCGGGCTGGGGATTGGGTGGGGATGGGGGGAGCCACTCACCAATGATGCTGAATGGGAACTTGCCGAGGCCACAGAACTTGCCTATAAGCGGCGAGTGCTCGTCGCGTCCATCGTAGACCGCCAGCCAGTCGAAGGGGCAGTGCTCGTTGCCCGATCCTATGGGCCTGATCGGACAGGTCATGACGTTCTCGCATCTGCAATAAAAAAGTGTGTTTCCACTATGAAAAGGGCTGAAGGCAATGTCTCAATTCAATTATCGAAGCACCAGATGTCACATAAAATTTGCCTGGCGACGATAATTCAATATCGAAGCCCAAACTGAACAATTAAAAACTCACGAAGCAGAAATAACGAAATAAAAAAGTGCACAAAGAGCCCCAAAGGTATGAAGGACAGAGAGAAATTGAATTCACTGTTGACAGAGTGTTGAGCCTTTTAGTGCCAGATCGAATCTGTGCAGAAATGTTTGAAAAGTGGGGGTAGAAAGGGACTATACGGAGGCATAGAGATGTGAGTTTGAAAACTTTCTCATCTGTATTAGCCAATTGGTAAATGGCACTCATGGTGAATGTTGAATGATTGGATAAGAGAGCTTGCTCACTTTACGGCTGCATTCAGCCATTCATTAAAAGCCTTTAAAAGGTTTAAAGCTGTAGTATTCCATCCAAAAATCTCCACGAATTTCCACTTCAAGTTGCTCTTACTGAATGCTGAATACGAAATAAATTCTGCCCAAACCCCATCTTTGGTCATGACATTCATTTCTACTTTGCTTGCCACAGGGAGCCAGGGAGGAATCGGTGGATGTAGTTTGGAAAAGGAATTTTCCAAAGCAAACAAAAAGGTGAAAAAAAACGTATAGCACAAAATCAAAAGCGTCTGTTGTGAAGCCTTTCCTAATTTCTTGCGTCGGTCCCGGGATGCTTTTAATTTTTTACTGGCTGTCTGGCCTCGGCATAACCCTGACTGATGGAGAGCTCTGCGCCCTAGACGAAGTGACCTTTATGCCTCCGTCCAGCCAATGCAGGGAGATGAGGTGCCTTCAGCTCAGTCCATCCATGCCGACGATGACAGCCCGGGCCGTGGGGCCGGGATGCCATTCTTTTTTTGTGTATGCCTCTGTCGATTCACAATTCAGCTCGCCCCATGGCAGTGGAGGATCTGACTGATTGCTGGCCAGTTCAAAAGGCAAATGAAATGCCTCTCACCTGGCTTTTGTGTGGGTCCGTGTCAGTGATTGTACGAGTGTGGCAACTTTCTAATTGAAAGCTAACTTTGGCAATTACCCACTGAACTTTCATCAAACGCAGACCGATTCATAGAGAGAGCAGGCCGGCAGAGCCTGTGAATCGAAATCAAAAAGGCAGTTGACTCTGATTTCGAAAGTTGAACAAAAATTCCAATTTAATTGACAGTTTCATTGAGCCGTTCCTCTTTCTTCTGGGGTCTTTTCTTTCTGTGTGACCATCGCAGGAAAGTTGTGCAGGAAACTTTTGGCCAACTTTTGTATCTATATCTATGTATAGATAGATTTCTATTAGCTAGTCGTTCGTTTCAGTCAATTTAATCACTTTGTCAGCAAGTTTCCCTCCGCATTTCGGGCATTTCGAAGAGCTAATCCAACTTATTGATAATAAATGCGATGTCGGCCAGAAAGTTGATTACAAAGCGAGAGTATGGGAAATAATTCCTTGGGTTTTGGGGGAAAACTTTTTTGGCCCAAACACATATCAACAAAAATACGACTACAAAAAAGAAAAAAGAAAAGCAATGGCAGGGAAAAAAAATAAAGCACTGACTGGTAATAATTTTGGCATATTAAAAAACTTTTTTACTCGATGACTTTTGCATTTGTTTGGCATCCATCCGCCATGTCCAAGTTCTGCCCGATTCTGCTGCCACAGCAGAAATTCTATATATATATATATTTCGTATACTCGCATCTGCATGGGGCAGAGGAATTAGGAATGTTGTTGTGGGTTGTGTTTTTTGACAGCCGCCAAAGGGGCCGAGCAATAAAATGGAGTGATTTATAAAAGAGCTCCAGCATCAGGGGAAAAGTTCTTGCTGACTCGGCATCCAGAGAGCGGGGGCAGGACTGTGGTTGCGGATGTCGGACGGACTGGATCTATGGGAGATTTAAGCAAAGGTTCAACTGGTTCTAGCGGGTCCTTTAAGCAAAGGTTAATAGAATAGACTAATGTTTCGCATCTGTGAGGTACCACAACATAACATACGTATAAAAACTGAATTTAAGGACGATTTAACCAAAGGTTAGGCACTTCTTTGAGCTGGTTGGACCACAGATTGATGAAACTTGATGTATATTTGCCCTGAAATGAATTAATCTCTCGTAGAACCAACAATTCTGACAGCTTCAGTGCCAAAGCAAAACCTAATTTGAGTAACTTTCAATCAGAAGAAGCATCTGCAGTCCCAGCCCCAGCTCCAGCTCCCGATTAGCTCCTTCGAAAAGGGGATGTTTGTCTAATCCTTTCCTGCGTGCAAGAGTGGGGGCTGTAGGACCCCAAAGGCAACTTAGACTTGCAAATTAATACACACTTAAAGGGGATTTTGGCCCTACGCTTCCTGCCCCCACCCACCCACTACTTTGGCAGAGACCCAACTCAAAGTTGGCAACTTTGACGTGAGTCCGTGTCTCGTCCCTCGGTCGTGACGGAATGCGGGAGGGGGGAGTGGGGAGTTCTGGTCCTTGCATTGGACTTTTCAAAAGGTAAATATTCAAATTGAATCTATAAAAATAAATTGAATGTTGCTTATCTAATTCCGACTTGCTGTTGCTTGATGTGCACGTGGCATGGCATGTGGCAGCATCTGGATGGGATGGGTGCCTGCCTGCCACAGGAGGAATTGACAAGGACAGTTGACTGGGAAATACGCTGACTCCGGGCATTTGCACATCAAACAGGCTTTAAGATACTCCGGATACTTCTGTCGGGAGTCCGCAAAGTGTTAAAAGCCGTAGGATTTACCCTCCCCTCACATCATTAGGTCCCCCGCCCCCTCACTACATTTTGGCGGGGAACGGAAGCAGCACCTTTGACCCATGATGAGGCAAATATTTTGCGAAGGGTCATTTCCGTTAAGTAAATGTAAATTGAATGTGCGGCAACAGAAGGAGAGGCAGTCCAGTGGGAGATTTATGCCCACTTGGCCGCTCCATTAAATATTTAAGTTTGGATTTAAGGCAACTTGCTGCAAGTGCCCCACCAAATTAAAGGGCCACAAAGGGATTGGCTTCCACCAAAGAAACATTTCTATATTTTGATTTGAAATAAAAGTTAAATATTAAAGAGCCATTTTGGAATGAATAGACATCGAATGAATATATTTTATAGTCGAGAATTTCGTGGCGATAATTCAACAAAAAATATCTATACAAAAACGAAGAGTACCTTTTGACAGGTGTGTGAATGCTGAGGAGCTTAGTTTTTTACAGAAATCTGTGAAAAAATGTGTGCGCATACGAAGCGGGCCGCATAAAGGGAGATCCAGGTATTATACGGGGGAATAGAGGTGGTTAAAATGTGAATTTTCAGATCTGTATTAGCCTCTTGATGAACACTATTCATGTTGAATGTTGAATGATTGGTTGAGTTCAAAGTAAAAAGATTTATTGCTCGCTAAACGACTTTAACAGGTTTGCAAAGGATGGACTAAAGGATCAAGGGTTAAATCTTTGATCTACATATACAAAAAGAGCGTCAACGTCTACTTATATTTTCATTCTCTCAGATCCACCATTCTTTTTCCTGTTTTTCTGATAGCTTACCAATTACCTAAGCCACCTTGGATGCTCCTTACAAAAGTACGATTGAACCCATGTTACAGATAGATCCGTAATTATTCAATCATTTTGGGGGGGAGCTCTGTACTTAAGCATTCACTCCGAGCTCACTCAAATTCTATTCCTATTCCTTTGTTGTTGCTGAAATTCTCAGAATGTCACAGATTTCGCGCTCCTTTCAGCCAATCTATAAGCTTTAAGCGAGAGACCTAAGCAATTGTTGTGGAGGACTCGTCTTTCTCGCAGACGCTTTCATCATTTTGGCATTAATAATACAAGGCAGCCGTGACTGCTGCCGACTCAAAAGCTTTCTCCTTTTCCCTTTCCCCCCCTGTAAAAGTGATGGCAACCTCACTCAAAACGTAATCCTTTGGCCAATTTCCCAGAACGAGAACCAGACCCAAACGCAGATGCTTACACACACACACACACACACACACACACACAGATAGAGACACTCGGAGATACAGACACGGAAAATGCAAGCCGAGGATATGTCGCCAACGTTTTCCAGCAAATTGGTGCCAATTTTTGCGACGAGCGCTCTGTCAAATTGTCATTGTCAGGATGCCAAATGCATTACAGCAATGCCAGCAACATCTAGATGTTTGGGAAATGCCCGAGAATCGTGGATTGGGGATTGAGGATTGTGCAATCGGCGTGCCAAAATGACAAATTACAGGGCGTTAAATTTAACACTAATTCTGGTCCCACCAAAAAACGGATGGAAAAAGATAGATAGAGAAAAATGGAAATACATTTGCATAAAACAAACGTTTTTTAAAGCCTGAAAAAGGGCTAATGTTGGGCCATATATATTTAGCATCGTTTGAAAGAATGAATTGCAGAAATTATGAGAATAAAAGAGAAAAGGACGAGAAATCAATGGTAGATGTGGCCCATTATTCGTTCAATAAACTTACCTTTGACCATCCACAGCGAACTGTTCGTTTTGCAGATACAACTTGATGTAGGGCTGGCGGGTGTGCAGCTTATAGCGACAGTTCAGAGCGCGAGGATACAGGCCAGGATAGGCCGGTGATTGGACATAGCAAGTCTGCAGACGACAGTCCCGATATTCGCGTTCACAATAGGATCTGCAAAGCACAGAAAATACAATAGAATTAGGAGGAATGTATAATTTGATTGCTTTCAAATTGGTGGCATCCCCTGGCGCCCGAAACAAATGTTCCCCCAGTAGGCACCTACAATTATTCAAGGAATTTTCCGGCTCTACAGCCTTCCCTTCCCTTCCTTCAAGTGTACCCATTCCGCCTACCGAGACAACGAAACCAGAAAATTGTGCTCACTGATTTGGAAATTTGTGTTCTGCTTTCTCACTTCTCCACTCAAAAAATTGACGCTTGTAAAATTGTTGTTAAATTGCAAAAAGAAAAATGTCTCTCTTTGGTGCGTATAATTTTCAATTTGTTTAAGTAAAACAAACGGAAAATCATTCAAGACGATGCCAGCGCAAATATGATTACCATTTTTATTCATTTTCCTCTCCCCCAAAAGCCCTTCTTCCTTCTCTCTCTCATTGTGGCTATTACTCTTTGTCTTTGGCAATTTGCTTTGGTTTAAGCTCCACGATTGGCTTCGGGTTTGGGGCTTGGCTCTAGTGTCGATGTGCGCGTGTGACCGCAAAATTAGCATAAAAATCATATTGGCCATGTGGGCGAAAGGGACAAGGGGACAAAGGGACTGGGAATTGTAGAGTTTCCCCAGCCCCACAGACTCCAGGGGCCTCTATTGATAGGATCTTCAAGAGCTTACTCTTGATGGCATTTAAAGATGATAAATATTACGAAATGGGTTGGTGTTGATCGAGGTTTCTTGGGGGGAGGTGTATCATTTCTGTGGTATCTGAAATATTTCCATTAAAAGAAAACCATTCTTCTAGCATGGAATTTTATTTCCTAAGATGTACTTAAAGAACAACTTACGAACTCTGTGTAATGACTTCCTTCTTAGTTGAATTGCATTTCGAATTGTTCAGTCTTCAAGTGTTTTCGGCTTCAAGAAAGCTCTTTATAACTCATGGAAAATTTCGTTAATTCTGCCTTTAGATTTCCCTGATTTTTCCCATCTCTTCGTCAGTTGTTCGCAATTCATTTGGAAAACGATTCTGCCTACTCCGAAACTTCGCATCTCAACCGTGTACCGCCCTCCGCCCTCCCCCTGCTTACATATGCACAAATATCGTCGGAATAATTCTTGCATATTCCCTCTGCACCTTCTGTCGGGGTCTGCCCCTAAAGCCCTTCATAGAGCCAAAAGCGCTGCTCAAAACTTGCAACTTATTTTATTAAGATAAAAGTTAGACTGCCAGAACGAAAAACGGAAAAAACGAATCCGAAAAAAAGAGAATCAAATAAAATTTAATGTCTGCAAAGTTTTATTTTTGTCAGCGTTTCGTGGCAGAGGGCGGTGTGGCAGCAGCTTTGAGCCATGGCTTCAATTGCCGACTTTTCCAGCCATCTTCCGAGAGGCACTGTGCGCCTCTTCCTCTCGCGTATTAGATGTTTGTCGCAGTGCAGAAGGAGCCGAAGGAGCATCAAGGATATGCCCCCCCCCCCCCTCCACGACCCTGTAATTCAATTTAATACGACCTTCTGTTGCCACTGAATCCACTCCTTGTTTCTTTTGCATATGATTATGATACGATAAAATATCGACAAGGCAAGGACATTGTTTGTCTCTCCGACTTTCATCCATTCTGTAGAATTTTTGCCCCCCCCCCCCAAATCAAATTGAATTAACGCCTGAATTGGCCTGCAAAAGTACCATCAGGGGCAAAAGCCCCTCCTCAGGAGTTCCTTTCTGTTGGCCATTTACTCACCCTTGAACCACTTCGCCGCGACGGTTTGGATATAGCTCCGGATGCTGGCCATATCGCAAATAGACTTCGGTTTGCTGCTCCGCGCGTGAATCGAATGTGAAGTAGGTCTGGAAAAGCAGAGAGAAAGGATTCAAAGTGTGTGGACAATCGAAGCAAATCACGTATACGCACGGGGGACGGGTCATGGTGCAGCCTGGGCCTCTTATCTGCTAAGCTGCAAGCCATTAGTAGCCATGCTTCACCATGCCCCTCCATACGTTCACCATTGTTGTTGATGAATTTTGTCAATTCTCTCATTGCTTGCCTGGGGCAGACCATTCCCCTCCTGTATTGCTTGCTTCGTGGCGACAATTGCGTGTTTCGCTGGAGAAACCAAAGGGCATGCAACCTCTAGCGCGGTAACAGTCGCCACCTGCAGTAGCCTCCACCTGCAACCGCCGCCAGCGCGTCACGGCCTGCCTCCTTGCCTCGTCTGTATGCCACATGGAAATGTGCAATGTCATTCGCCCTGCCACACACACACACACACACACACAACGAAGAAGTCATTGAGTTTTTCTCCCTCTGCCAGCCCACTTCCGCTGGCCTCCTTGCCTTCGTGCCATCCTGTTTGCCTGTTTCCCTGTTGTTCCCCACCCAACGCCTGGCGGCCTCATCAGCACTAATGACGTGCTGCTGCAGTGACGAAGGCCCTGCACGCCCTCGCTTGCCCCGGGAAACCCAGTTGCAAATGGCCCACGAAATGAAGTCAGTAATGGTACAGCGGAGCAGACGACGTCAAAGGGAAAAAGCAAAGATAGCGCAAAAATATACAGATGAAAAGATCGTACATAGGTCATGGAGAAAATAACCATATGGGAAGTCAAAAGTTGTTTTTTTTTGCAGATCTTTATACTTTTAACGATAGCTATCTCATTGTGTATTGCAGGATTCTCACTAAACCCTGTTTGGCATATTCTATAATGTACCCGTTGATTCGATTGATTCTGCTAAATTGCCTCTAATCATATGATTGCCAATAACCAAGGGCAGGGCAGGCCACAACCGGTACACGCCTCGGGGCATACCTGAAAACATTCATTTCAATTATCCAATCGAAGTCAAAATTATCGAATAGACAGCCACAAAAGAGATTTCCACATCCTCCCCACAAGAGTCAGCTTCATCATGATGCCCCTGCACCCGGGCCCTGCCACAGCCACATAAGCCCGATGGGGTATTTTTCCATCGGGTCTCTCATGGCGGGACGGAGGAGCGTGATGCTGCGGCAGAAACACGGAGGAGCGTAATGCACATGTCAATATTAAATGCGTTACCGGCGTCAATGACGTTAGAGCCACTTAACGACGTGAACAATGGCAGACGCAGGCCCGTTTCGTTTCATCCAGATGCCACACAGTTGGATATGCTACCCATCCCCATTCCCCATCCCCATCACAGTGCCGTTCAATCCGTCCCCATCATTCCGTTTCCCATCGCTGTAGTCTCGTTATGAGAGGAATTTAAATGCATTGGATGCGAGTATTCCATCGATGGAGCCCGCAGCCTGGACCCCTGATCCCTTATGCGATGGTATGACGATGATGATGATGCTGATGCAGCAGTGGCAGGTTGGATATCTGTCTGGTCACTCCCGGCCTCCCGTTAATATCCTGACAAATTTGTGTTCGAATAAATTAAAATTTCAAATGGATTTGTTGCCACCATGACTCTTGGTCTTTGCTGTCGCTGTTGTCGCTTTTGCCATTTTATGAAATTATTTTTGATTTATTTCTCATTGAATTTATGCAAATATTAATGCGTAAACGAAATTGATTTTGTAACGCAGCTGGAGATACCCATTAAGGGAGGCTAAGGCAGAACTTTTATTAAAACTGTAAACATATATTCGTGACTTTTGTGGAGTGTTAACCTAAAGCTTTGATAACCTCTCCAAAGGGTATTTATTGCTTCGCGAAGTCTGACTTTTCTTTCTGCTTTTTAATTTTTCTGGCATCCCTTAGTCCTCTTCTGTTCTGTCCTGTCCTGCCCCGTCCTGTGTCTCATTAAATCGTGTTATTACATTGCCAGAGCTGTCGCTTATTTTTATTTATTACCAAATGAAAAGGCATCCCCGCTGGAGCCAGCGATTGGCGAGAGACGCACTCGCGCCAACTAAGTGGCAAAAAAGTTCCCGTCTGTGTGAGGGAAGGGGGGGGGGGGGGGGGGGGGGGCACCGGTAGGGATTCCGGTCGGGTTGGATCTTGGTGCTGGAGAGCCGTGCGGGTCCGGGCTGGGCGCAAATCTGCGTGGCAAAAACAAAGCGCACCATCCGCACAACTTTTCGCTGGAAGTTCCAGGCGAGCTTGGAGAGTTTTCATAAATATTTATGACTCCATTAAGGTGTGCATAAGACACACTCTGGAGGGTGTCCTGCCACAGGAGTCTCTACTGTGCACGGCACTGGAGCAGTCATTCAAGGCTTTAGTCGGTTTGTTTGTGTTTGCGCATCCCTGCAACTTGTTGTAAGCTCGGGCATAAAGCCAATCGACTGCATTGACTACGCAGAAAGAGCACGGAGTGGAGCTGGTGGCAAGGGGCCAGGGGCCAGGGGCCAGGGGCCAGGGGATAGGGGATAGGATAAGGAAGGAAGAGCTTTGGATGGGAAGGAATGAAAGAAGTAAAGCTTGAATGGAGTTATGGATATAGACGGATGTGATTTTGAAGGTTGAATCATTATGGATGGGAAAATTGGTTTTTCATGTGGCTGAGATGTGGGAAAATCCCATTGAAAAAGTGCTATAGAAAGTGATAAAAAGGACAGAAGGTGCTTTGTGTGTGTACAAGATTTTGTATACGGCAGGAAGCAAATATTAGAGGAATGTATTTGACACGATTATTAGGTCGGGCTTTAGAAATACGAAAGAAAGAGGATAGGGTATATATATATCCTATACCCTAAGGATTCTTAATTACTAGAATAACATAACGATTTTTATAGGTAATCCCCATTCCCATTCCGTAATCCCATAGCACTTCCTTGCCTCCGTCTGTTGCCATTTATTTTTCAGATGTGATTTATAGCCACAAAAAAATCTCCATTTTAAATATTGAAATTCTTTATGTGACATAAAGAACTTATCTTTCATTTTATAAATGCAAATACCGCATCAAAAACACAGCAGCAAAGCAGTTGACAAAAAAGCAAAAAAAAAAAAAAATGGTGAGGAAAATCCGAGGGAACACAGCAGCGAAAAGCAGGGAGCAGGAATAGGGGAGAAAAGCTAAATGGAATTCAAGTTTTGAACTGAGAATTCACATAGATACTGAGATATATGCATGCTTATGTATGTGTGTGTATGGTGACTGCAAGGAGAATGACGGCGCCAGCCAACCATCCAGCCAAAAAGGATGCAGGGGACAGGACGAGCAGACAGACGGGGGCCAGACAACAGCCAAGGGATCCAGGGATCCACCCACGCCATAGACATTCTGCTACTGAATAATGCATCCACCAAACGAGAAAAAAAATATAAAGAAAAATATACAAAAATATATATAAAACGTATCCGTGTGCGTGTGTTACTCTCTCTCTCTCTCTCTCTGTGTGACTCTCATTCTTTCTCCCTTTCTCTAAGTGCGAAAATGAGTTGCATAGATGCAACCGAGCAGATAGAGCAACATGGGTCACGACGTAGCAACAGCCAAAGGAGAGCCAACAGGCAGGAAAACAAGTAAGGATATGCCAGCTGTGGAAGGCGGACCGTGGATACCCTCACCGAGCAATAGATCCTGTGGCAGCTATCGTACAGGTACGATTTTCGATGACTTTTGTTGAAAATTGTGTGCTCTTCCCGATTTTGCCAGTTCCAACTGGGAATATCTTCATATTTAATATGAAATCTGGTTAAATATCCTCTGAAAGTGTATTAAAAGAATGGAAATTCCGAGTGGAGAGAGGGCGAAGAGATGAGACTCCACAGGAAAGACCGATGAGAGTGGAGTGGCAGGACAGATGAGAGTCGAAGGGAAGCACAGATGAGAACGAGGTGTAGAGGTTGAAGTGCAAAGAGTAAAGAGTGAAGACAGGCAGCCAGGACTTGTAATATTTTCCCTAAATTATGTGATAAATATAAATATGCAGACATTTATATACACCTCTACATATATATTGTGCTTCAGAAATACCCCCGGACACAGCACAAGGAGCTGCAGAGACTTTTGTTTATTAGTGCAAGTGGCAGGACTTGGCAACGGGGCCAGAGGGACATCTCCAGGACGAGACTTCTCTGTTTCTTTTGTGGTAGTTGGAATTCTCGCAGGAAGAGCTTCCCTCAAAGAGAGACGCTGGGGCTCACCTGATCCGTAAAGTTGTCCGTGTGGAATAGCACTTTCACATAGCTCGTCTCGCTGATGAATGTCTGGGGCTGCTCGGCCTCGCCGCAGAACATGCCCGGCTCCCGGCGATTGGAGACATCCGTCTTGGCATTGCCGTCAACAATCTGCAGCGACACGAAGCACAAGAGAACTCAATTCAGTTGGGGATAACCATAACCCCCATATGTCATCGTTTAGCCAAGGGCATAAATTAGGACGGATTGCCGGATTGTCCGGATTGCCACGATTGCCAGTGGGGCATGATAAATCAAATGTTGGCTGAACGGTGGCCACACCCACCTGTAAATATCCGCCCTCGCAGTGGGTCGCATTCAGCAGTTGACCCACTTTGAACTTCTTGAACCGCAGACGCAGCACAAAGTCGCGCGGCGCCCCCTTGAGGGTGCGGAAGCGATACCAGCAGGTCAGCGGTCGACCCACATTCTGATTGCTGACCTCCGGCGAGCTGATGTCCTCGAAGATGTCCACCGTCTTGTTGCAGTGATCCTTGGATATGTCCGACCCGCCACCAGCGCCGCCGCCACCACCGCCACCACCGCCACTGCCGCTGCCACCTATTAAAGACACAAAGAAAGAAAGGAATTGCGGTTAGTGGGTTTTGAATTGCCGATGGAATAGTTAAAGAAACTTGTTAACAAAAGGACCAAGAAATAAATGGCAAAGTTCTGTGGCAAAAAAGGGATTTGCATTCACAAGAAGCGCTCCTAGAGTCTACGAATCAATTTCTCACGAATGTATCTTATGACTCACAGGAGAGTCTATTCCAACTTGGCTTGTGAATCTTCAGAGGTTCTTTCCTCCAACAGGTAGCCTAGGATCTGCAGAAGATACTTTTATGTGGGTACCTTCTCTAATCTCTGGCTAGAGTCCTCCTCCACTCGGGGCTTATTAATCACGAGGTTGTGCTCACGAGGCTCCCTATCCCGTCTCACCTCTATTATAATCCAGAGGGAGAATAAAAAGAAAACTCCTGCGGCCGTTTCTATTCATTGTGCTTAATTTATACAGCGAAATGCATAAATGACAAAAGGACATTGTGCTGAATTTGTAATTCAAGTCTGGCTGTTGACAGAGGGGCCTCCCCTGCCACGCAGAGTCCTGCCTCATGCAAAAGACGCAGACGTCGTTGTCCCTGACTCTGACAAAGACCAAAAAAGAGAAGGTCCTGCCTCGACAGGACCGGCCCCTCCCCAGCGCCCACTTTAGCAGTCAACGCGCGTAAAATTTTGAGCACGCAGCGGCGTCGAGTAGAGGGGGGTTCCCAGAGTGCGGAAGAGTGCGGGGTGGGGGAAAACTGAGGAGAGTCGACTGTTTGTGTGGTTGCCTTATAAATTACCCCAAAGGCGAGTGCAAGTCCTTGCAGGCTCCTTCGTTTTTTCATTTTTATTTTTGCCTATAATGCAAAAATATTCTTGAGAGCTCAACTTTTTAATCAGAAAAGAGAAGTTCTTGCGGCTCGTGGGCTGGGCCTGGAGCGGGTGCGGGGGCTGGGGCAGTGGGTTGAGTAAACAAAGAGGGGTTACGTGACCAACATTTTTTCACATTTAAAATTTCTTTGATTGTTTTTCCTGCTTTATTTTTTTTTTATTTACACAACTTTCATTTGTTTTTATACCCGATACTCAAAATGAGTATTGGGGTATATTAGATTTGTGGTAAAAGTGGATGTGTGTAACGTCCAGAAGGAATCGTTTCCGATCCCATAAAGTATATATATTCTTGATCAGCATCAATAGCCGAGTCGATTGAGCCATGTCTGTCTGTCCGTCTGTCCGTCCGTCCGTCTGTCCGTCTGTCCGTCCCCTTCAGCGCCTAATGCTCAAAGACTATAATTGCTAGAGCAACGATGTTTTGGATCCAGACTTCTGTGATATGTCACTGCTACAAAAATATTTCAAAACTTTGCCCCGCCCACTTCCGCCCCCACAAAGGGCGAAAATCTGTGGCATCCACAATTTTAAAGATACAAGAAAACCAAAAACGCAGAATCGTAGAGAATGACCATATCTTTTAGACTGCGGAATCTGAATTGGATCGTATTATTATTATAGCCAGCATCAAGAAAACAATTTCATTTTTTCTCGCCCTGTCTCTCTCTAACACACACGTAGCATAGGCGGCTTTGCTTAGAGTAAAACATTAGCGCCTAAATCTCAGAGACTATAAAAGCTAGAGCAACCAAATTTGGTATCCACACTCCTAATATATCGGACCGAGTCGAGTTTGTTTCAAAATTTCGCCACACCCCCTTCCGCCCCCGAAAAGGATGCAAATCTGGGGATATTCACAAATCTCAGAGACTATTGAAGCTAGAGTAACCAAATTTGGTATCCGCACTTCTGTTAGATCTCACTATAAAACCTTTATCTCAAAATTTCGCCCCACCCCCATCCGCCCACACAAAGAACGAAAATCTGTTGCATCCACAATATTGCAGATTTGAGAAAACTAAAAACGCAGAATCATAGATAACGACCATATCTATCAGATTGCTGATTCTGGATCAGATCAGATCATTTTTATAGCCAAAGGAAGCAAATCAATTTGCAGTGGCTACGCAGCGCGTGACGTCACGCTCAGACTGATTTTCTGTCTCTCTCGCACGCACTCTTTGTCGTGTCGTTTAATATTAGCGGCGTCTGCCGGAGGAAAGCCATACTGACTTAGTATCGGGTATAACTGTAGAGTTGCGGTGTCCGCAGCAACTCACAACGTTCCCCCTCGTTTGCTCTGTATTTGTTTAGTGGTTATTTGTGGAAAGTTGAAGCCAAATTATGAGTGACAAATTGTGTGCCTTTGCTCTCGAGGAAGTGTACAGTTTTGCTGAGTACAGTTCCGCTTGAACAGAAAGTGTTGCCTACTTTTAAGCGCCGCGAAGTTCTGCCTTCGTTCGATGCTCCCCACCTCATTAGAGCTGATTCTGATGCTGCTTTGCATAATTTTAATCAAAAGCAGGGATATCCCCCATCAAGGATATCGCCATCTCGCGCCACTAATTGAATCCACAACTTAATTAAAGCAAGCGAAGCTTTTCCCTCTCGCATCTGGGCGATGGAAAAAAAAACAGAAACCAGCTCGCAGCGACATCAAAAAGGATTTAATTAAATGAAATATTATACGTTTTCATTAAGCTTAAAGAGGGATGCGACCGCAAGCTAAGCATGATACGGATACTGCTTCAAAGGGACTCCGTGAGCAAATCGATCCACACCCGAGAACGCACATCAGAGCGAGTATTTTGACAGAACGCAATCAGCTTAGCTGCAGGCAGCCGCCCCCGCCGAAAGCAATTCGAGCCCCGCCACCCATTCGGAACCACTAAAACCACCAGCCAATATGGCCACCGCACAGCATGTCCTCTGGAGCAGAACCAGGAAGACGTCCCCCATTCCCCATTCCATTTCGTCTTGGGAGGTGGTGGCCACTGTTTCTTAAGCTCAAATCGCGCAGGATTATGGGAGGAGTTAGGTGGTTGGGAAATCGCCGAAGGCGACAGGCGAGAAGGCGTATAATAAATCTGTTTAATTTATCAGCGTTCTATTATGTAATACATTCTATAAAGACGGCCATCATTGCCTCCTTCTACTCGTCTTTTGTTCCTCAATCTGTTCTGGCTGCCTGTCGAAAATAAAAAGGGAAGCTTAGGCCTCAGCTTTCGGTAATTAGTGTTGGCCAGGGAAAGCCTTCGAAGGAAAACAAGGAGAAGCGGAAGGCAGGGCCGGCAGGCTTCATATTACTCCATCGATGGCTTGACCTCCGATGAAATATGCTCTTACGAATTTACTAAAAAACCAGAAAGCATTTTCCCCGAAAAAACTCCGATAAAGTATGTTTTGCAGCTTTAACTAACACTCTAACCAAGAAAAGGTTAAGAACCATCACTCAGTGTGTGGCTTTTGGTCCACATCGACAGGACATCAGGACTCAGACCCTTGATTTAAACACTCGGGCAAGCAGCAGACGAAAGGTCCAACTGGTGGCACTCACTTGTTAAGCCGGCTTGGGTTTCGGCTTCAGCTCCACCTCCTGGTGGTGCTGCTGCTGCTGCTGGTACTCCTTGAGTCCTTAATCTTCGTCCTGTAAAGTTCACACAACTATTGTCACATGCGATACACCCACTCAATGGGGCTACAAGCCTGCAGTCGAGGACAGCAGCAACAACAACAGAAAAGAACAATCTATAGTGGCCCGAGTCCTAGACAGAGCGCCGACATCCTCCTGCTCCGAATCGATTAGATGCGCTTTGCTGCCTTCGCTGCCTGTGCGACTAACCTGTGAAGGACCCGGAAGAGCTGGTGGAGGAGCCAAAGTCAAGCTGGAAAAATGGTGAAAGTCGCTGGTCCTTTGCATATATGTATGTATTTGCTCCGATTCAGAGGGGACTCTGCCCACATGTTGATATATTGTCAGCAGACGCACATCGCATTTGTCTCGGCTTTCGTTCTCTCTTTGTGGCCTTCCCTGCTCAGTGGCTGCTTCATCTGACGCTGGTACATCCCTTTTTTGATAAAGGTTGACAAGCGTATGCCCCCACATCCCCATATCCCCATCCTGCCACCACCTACTCCTGCCACTCCTCCTACTGTGTGTTGTCAACAGCCATTGAGGGCCCTGCCGGGGCCGACATGAAAATCGATTATGAAAATCGTTTGTTCAACATTTTTCATGCATACACGCACCAGAGCAAGAGCAGAGGGGAGGAGGAGGGGATCCATAGATAGGGCAGATCGAGAGCTTTCCATGGCTGCTGCCTTGTAGATTGCTTCCTCTTTGTATTTGCATAAATATTTTAATAGAATTTTCCTCGCCAAAGCTGCTTGAACTATTTTTCAGCTGGGTTCGGTGCAGGATCCCTCTATAAGGATTGATGTTTAATGTGGAACCCCACTCGAAGGGGGTTCGGTTCGTCGTAAAGGGAATGAAATGAAATTGACTTATTCAAATAAGTGATTTACCACTTGACGACGAACCCCAGAAAGCTCGTAAAATACAACAACAGAATTTGCATAAAATTTGAAAGGGAAGTCCCCCAAAAGAAAAATCAAGGAAAAGGGAAGTGAAACTTTCATTTGCCCATCAAAACATGGAATTGGTTGAGCAGGGTCTGACTACTCCAGCGTCGGTTCGATTCGATAAAATAGAGATGGAAATCTGTTGACATATTAAATTAATACGGATCCATGGAGTGTGCGATGAACTGGCTTTGAATAATACATATGGACAAGTATTGAACTATAACCGAATGACCTCTAAAAGGTCTACTACTTACGTTCTATCTTTTGGGTATATCTTTTTCAGTACATACTTAAAAATACATCAATCAAAGAATGCTGAAACCATTCAAGGCCAATCCTCAATTATTCTTAACAACAGCTTTCATTCGGATAAATCTTAAAGAGACTTCTCTTTCAAGCTGAATGGCTTGATGGCTTTTTGTGTGCCTTGTCCACTTCAAGGACATTCAGATTATCCATCAACACTTGCAGCCTCCTTTCTCCTCATCCGAATCCCCCACATTCAAATGAATATAAATGACCTGACGCTTTAAATACTAATAGCCAGCAAATTCTTTCTTATCAGAGCAAAAACATTTCTCAACATTTTTCCAGTCACTTTTTATCTTATTCCTTTATTTTTGTGTGCGGAGGGGGACCCGACCAAAAACTTTTAGCAAGACAATTTGTTAGAAAGGAAAATCCAGAAGATGGGGACCCCCTCCTCCCAATGGACTCGCACTCGGTCGCCTGTCGTTGATAGATTAACTGTAACGGTGATGGATCATTTACTTAAATTATTAAAATTGCCTACTCAAATTTCATACACAAATGGAGAGAGGAAAGCTCCAGCCCCCGCCCAAACCCCACCGTACAAAAAACACCCAAAACCAAACCCAGTGAATGATTCACTGACAGACTGATTGAATGCCGAATGAGGAGGAGGAGTCGATGATACAGAGAAGTGGAGCAAATCTGTCAGAGGGAAACACAAAACTCAAACGATAACTAAAATAAAACATAGACCCAACAGAGCCGCCTCCTGGTGTACTCTCTCCTTAGAGGGCTGGGAATATCTACTATGAAGTCTGGGAAGTAGTATAGTAGAGAGTATCCAACTTCAGTTCTCCCCTTGAACAGCCCTTACAACAGTTGGGCAGCGGTTTCCAATCCATGGAACATAATATTGAAGCACTCTCCAGCAAAACTCTGGCAGAAATGTACTTTTATTTATCTCCAATTTGTTCCTAGTGTATTCAGATTCTCATGGTCATTGCATGAGTTTTTTCTACTGTTCGCTCCTTCCTGTTTCGTGATAATTTTATCAACATGAAGATCCATTAAAAAGTTTTCTCGTTCGCATTGCCTGAAATATTTCCTCTTCGGGCAAAGGCCTGTGTTTCGGCATTACTCTGTGCCCCAACTCCCTGACCTTTCCTGCCTCTCCTTTGGGTGTCCTTTGCTCAAAGTCTTGCCTGCTTCCAGGGTCACTTTGTGCTTCGATGCGTAAAAGTTTCCCTCTCTCTCTCTCTCGCTTATAGATTTTTTTTTGGCCAGACCCGAGGGCTATATTTGTGCGGCGACCGGCGACCTTTTACACTTTTATGCTGATTCTTGCGGATTTCTTCAGTTTCGTTTTTTTTTGTTAGCAGGAAATTTTATGATTTTGGTATTTTTTCCGGCTCTGTTTTTGGTGGGTGACAACTAGAGGGCGAAATCTCCGATTCTGTCTGTGACTTGGGGATTTTTTTTTCTGTCCTGCATTAGTTAAATGAAGGCAGGGTCTATGCCAACTGCATGCCTAAGGGGTACGTGTTCCGGTTCCTGGATCTCTGTCCCGCTGAAGGGTTCAGTTTTGCAGTATCTCGATATTGATTCGATGTCGGCATTCGGGGGGTAGCCTCATCAGCATGAGCGGCAAGAAGAGACCCCTACCTGAGGCGAATTTTTACGAATTTGTTCATTGCATATGGAATATGCCAAGAGCAGAGCGCCGCCCTTCATGTCCAGCTTGTCGGTACAGCGTCGAAATGAGAAGGGTTTCAGCAGTCCATTGTCGAAAAGGACAAAGGTTCAGTTCAGAGTTTGCAGAGAGTTCAGGCTTGACAAGTTCATCAGAAGTTCATTTGCTGCTAGTGGAGGCCAAATTGCCACGAATCAGAGTTTAAACAACGAAGAAAACAGTATGAATGAAGTGTAAGAGTGCGAATATTTATCTTGGGGCACCTGTAGACTTCCACCCAGTTTCAAGAAACGTTTACACCCAAGAAAACATGATACTCGTACAAGCTCCTTTAATCTGTAATTCATACAAGTACTGATAGCGAATGCCTCCTTTGTTATGAGACTACGCACCCAAATCCCTTTGTAAACATTAAAGCCTTCTCCTCACAATCCTTCACCACACTCAGGCGTCTTCTGCCCAGACCCATTGCCAGTGATTAATGACAAGGTATCTGTGAAATTTTGTTATCCCATCAATTTTGGGGCCCAACAGAAAGTACGAGTTACACACAATTTTCAATAAGCAGAAGCCAGCAGGAGCCGGGAGCAAAAACCGCATCTTGCTGCTGGCAGTCGTATACCCTAATCCCTCCAATCAATCTGTTGACCTTCAACCCACAATGGCTTATAGCTCGCCCACTCTCCTCGGGGTAGAGAGAAAGAGAGAGAGAGAGAGAGAGAACATCTCTCTCTCAGGCACGAAACCGTTTTCCCATTTGGCATCAATTAAAGCGCTTCAAATGAATTTATATACACATCCATAAATTAAACGAGTCCTTGGCTCGTGTCCCTGTCCGTGCTGCCATTACTGCTCCTATTTATGCTCCTGATCCTGCTCTTATTGCTGCCCCATCACATCTCTTCATTCATTTCATTTAAGTTAATTAGATTCAATAATTTTGAGGCCTACAGCATAGAGATGCTAGCCCCAGCCTCAGTCCCGGACCTAAGCCGAAATGGTTGCTGCGTGCCCAAAATTTCTAAATAGCCAACATAAATTGAGATTTATATGGCCGCTTAGGTGGCCATCATGACTTGCCCAATGATTTTGGTCCTTTGCTCTTCCATTCGCCTTGTACTCTGTAATTCTGGTGCAGGTCCTATTCCAGACGCAATTGAAATTTACCAATTTCGTAGATTTTTATGAGTGTGTGCATTAAAAACGTAAATTCAACGTGCCCATAAAGAGAGATGGAATGTCAAACGGTCTGTACATGTACCCTGTATATTGTCAGTGATGAGGGGTGTATATGATTAGGGAATTTCAGGAGAAAAACCTCCCGAATTCCATTCCTATACTATATTTTAGAAACGTTCTTTCAAGGCTTATCTTTTAGTACAGAAATTGATGAAGTCTTATCTCAAAGGGACTCATAAGGTTTTTAAAATATAGGATATACATATATTATAAGCTATAGAACTTTCTTTTAAGTCCCACCATGCGGTACCTACTCTAGTATTTATTTGAAAGATAATTAATCGCCAAGTTTGCCCTCTGAAAATCTATCAGATTACCTGCTATAGTTGCTACCCTATTTCCTTCGGTTGCCCAGATGGATTTTCCAGAACGGAAATCAAAAAAAGTTGATGGGCAAAGCGGAAAAAGCGAAATACGCGTGCGAATTGGCTCGTATATTAAACGCTGCGGAAATTGTTTCATCAATTTGTTAATAAAACGCACGCACACACAGAAAAAAAGAGTGAAAGAGAGGCAGAAAAAAAGCCAAATGGGGGACAGAGAGAGAGAGACAGAGCGAAATGGAGGACAGAGAAAAAGACAGAGCCAAAGGGGGGACAGAGAAAAAGAGAGAGCCAATGGGGGGCCAGGCCAGAGCTAAAGTGGGAGCGTGACGAGGACAGAGACAAACGTTTGACTTAATAAAATAAATTGTATAAATTGAAGTCTGTCATTTTGAGATTCCCAGGCGTAACATCATAGTCCCCCCTGTTCCCCTGTCCCCCCATTCAACGTCGCACACACTCGTAAAACATAACAAATTGCATGAAATTTACTTTTGGGAGTGAGTGTCTGTGTGTGTGTGTGTGTGTGCCCGTGGGAGCCCCCCGGAAAATTGTCATGCATGGCGTGCATGACTCCCCCCGAAAGGGCAACACATTTTGTAGGCCTCGAGTCCGAATGGCAGCAGACAATCAAGACAGTGGCACTCACACTCAACGCGACATACTTCTATCTATTTTTGTCTGGTGGTGGCACATCCTGCACGGGTGTTCTGGCCACATTTCACAGACGAAACCAAGCAGCAAAACTTGCCCCAGGATCACCCTAGCACCCCAGGAACATGTTGCAGACAGCTTGCGATGGCAGGGAGTCCTTCTGGATTGAGATGTCTTCAAGACGAGTGAAAGTGGAGTGGATTAGCCGGAATGTTGAGGCGAATATTTACAGAAAACGATTAAGAGGTCTAAAACTTAGGTCCACACAGGTATTAAGGAATGTTTCAAGCTCCCAAATTATGGATAATCTCAAGGGGAATTATAAGAGCTTTGTGAAATCAATTTATTGGTATTTAAAGGTAGCAGAACGAAGGATTTTGTAAGGGAATCAAGTCAAAAGAAAATCTTATTTTTAAACAAATCTCAAAGATAAAAGTTACAAAAAATAAGTGATGGCTGGAGAAAGACTCCAACTGAGATTATTTAACATTCCTGACTTAGTTGACTACTTTAATCTTAAATATAAAATATTTGTGGCCATCAATCCAAGCGATAAACTGCCGATTAATTGGCACCGATAACAATGATTCATTGAGATGAATGCATCTAATTTTCTCGCAAGTTTAACTCATTTATAAGGCAGCTCTCTCTCTGGCAACAGGCATCGCCGTAGCTCGGATAGATGGACTATTTTTACGGCTATCTTTTGTGTGTTTCTCAGAGATAATAAAACTTATAGCCGACAATTTAAGACTGGTGGAAAAACAAGAGAAGAGCCAAGGCTCTGGCTCTGGCTCAGGCACAGGCACAGGCACCACTGAAACGGACTCGACAGACTCACGTGCAGATAAAAATAATGGCAGAAAAATGACAAAGCCAGGGAAAAGGCAGGCACAAATAGAGGGAGGGATGTGGCAAGGATGGGAAGCACTCGTACAATGGAGGAGTAGAACAAATACCGGGAATGACACGAGCTTGCAATTTAATACGCAGATAAACACAAACAAAGAAAGAAGGAACAGTAGGTCGCTGTCGGTCGGATGATGAAGTTGGCTGTGGCACGCACATGACTAAATTTGCTCACGAACTAGGTGGAACCATACCACATTAGCCACCTCCCCGCCATCGCTATAGATCAAGTGATATCGGTTGAATGACACGACATGTAGAAGAGAGCCTCATCATCATCATCATCATCATCTGCCTCCTCCACATGGCTGTCGCTGTCGTGTTTTGTCGCGCTTGTTGTTGATTACGTTGATGATGCATGTTGTAATGTTGTTTAGGCTGATGTTTCGGTGTATAATACCTCTCCAAAACCATCTCCTCCACTCCACGCCACTCCACTCGTGAGGGGAATGCTCCACAAAGCGGAGCGAATGCAATTTGTAGCAATTGTAAAATGTACAGCCTAGCCCCCCAGTGTCTGCCATCTTTGATGTGTTTGACATGCTCTCATGGGGCGGAAGGGCCCTCCACCGCTGTGTGTGCGTGGATGTGGATGTGTGCGCCGTGTATGGCGTGTGGCCTGAGTAAGTGCTATAGTTAGGCCTGGCATTTGAAACGTTATTAATATTTATATAGCACTCCTTGCTGCCAGACGACTGCCGCACCAGCAGCCACAGCCGATTAATGTGTAGCGTTTAATTTGCGGACGAGACAATGGGGCGTATGAGCAACGTTGATTGGGTTTTGTCTCGAGGCTTAGGGTATAATGGTCCGAGTTAAGCTTTTGCGGGAGATATGGGGTGAATTTGAATGCTCCTATTAAATTCTGTTCATTTGGGAAGTGCTTTACGATTGCATTTACTTGCTCTGTCCTTCGTTTCAGTTTCATTAAACACTCTAATTATTTGCATCAATACCATCAATCAGGAAGCAAGGCCATCAATTACTTGAATCACATTTCATATTCATAGTTCATGAAACCAATCCACCCGAACACACCCCACCAATTAGGGGTGGTTTTCCCCACTTTGTAATTTCGAATATTTCGAAAGACCTTTAAAAGATTTCCTGATACGTGGCAAAGAAATGTTCACGAAAATTAAATTAAAAAACTTATTTCAAGTGCTTCTCCGGGTGTGTGTGTGTGAGTCTCCGCGAAATAAACAAGTTAAAAGTCTAACCATATTTTGGTTTTTCTTTATTTCTTGTTTAACGAGAAAACAGAAGCCTCAGAAATTGAAGCGGCAACCGCATCATATGTGTGCAGCCCTCTATCTCCATGGCGTTGTCTACAGTTTATGGAAGTTTCCATATTTTTGTGTACTTTTTTTTTTTTGTGAGTAGCTTCCTCAATTGCGGCTTTGGCTTTGGGAAACAGAGTGAAGATACAGCAGCCAAGCTCGAATGGTGCTCCGCATCCCCGAAAGTACCCCTCGAGGAGTAGGCAAAGTTTTGCCTTTACACTCAATTACAATGCACAAAGTTTGACAGGAAATTACTGTATGGCAAAGTTGTGTGTTTTCGTAAAGCTTTTTCCAGCACCACTTGGCCCCCAGTCGACCACCAAAAGGGCCTTAACCAGATGATATACAGTTATCAGCCGCTCTCCATGAGACAATGGAGGGTTTCAAGTAATTGAATTTGTCAAAGAGCATAGCAGTCAACTCCAGCACCCAGCCCCCTACAAAGATTATTATTTCAGCATATTTTCTGCTATATTCCAGACCAACTTGTCCACACGGAATTCCATAAATCATTGCGATCCGTACGTACAAATAAATCAAAACAAAGGTGGTACGAGTATGCTGCTCTTCTCTGTTCTGTATAATCACATAAGCAAATAAGTCGCCTACATTACGACTAAAAGACACCCTTTAAAGGGGAACTTGTAGATACATACATATAAGTGTAAGAAATTCTGCTTTAATTGGTTGCAAAAATATGGCCATAATGAAGAGTAATCTGCCACTGCCCTAGTTTTTTGCCACAAAGATTCGTACGGCCAAAAGTGTGATGCCAATGTAGCAGACTTTGGAAATACTCTCGCCGTAGTGTCGGCGAAAGTTCCGCTTTATAAAGTCCACCCCATCGTAGGCCGCCAAGTTCAGAAGAGCTAGTAGCATAAAGACGCTTCTACGCTCGGCCTGGGACCGCTGGGTGAGCGAGTAGATGTTGCAGAAACCAATCACAGTGCGCCAGAACACCACATGGGGCATCTTGGCCGCGAGAAATCCGATGGCCCCCAGGGAGAGACCGAAGGCAAGGGCTCTGCGGATGCCCGTCGAAGAATTGTACAGCTCTGTGT